GTGTCTCTCTTTTGCCCGCTGGGTCCCTGGCGTGGGGGGCTTCTTATTCGCCCCTCGTTATCTGCTCTCTGGGGTGCTCAGATGTTGATGGTACCCCGTAGCAGTTCTGAGTCCTCTGTGTGGGAGTTTCCCACTGGCTGAGAAAGCCCGAAGAGCTACGGTTTCCCCGCAGAGGGCCGCCCCTCCCCCCTCTCTGGGAGCCATGTGGACTGGGAGCACTGATCTGATGGGGAGGGAGAAGAGTTCTCCTTACCTCTCTCCACTTCCTCTGGGGGCCCAGCACGTTCCACTCTCAGATGTGTGGCAGTGTGGATCTTTCCAATCTTGCTTTTCACTGTCTAGGATTCCGTTGTTGGTCTGTGACTGTTCCTTTTGTTGTATCTTATCGGGGGAAGAGTTTACGGGAAAGCTCACTCCACCATGACGCTGATGTCACTCTCTTTAGAGGATCTTTTTAAGTTAGTCTTTTGAAAGTGTGACCATCTTGATTCATAGGAGCAATTTTACAAATAGAACTTAGCTACTCAGACAAGTGCGTAAACATCAAGTTCATAATATTAATTATCACCAGAGAACATCATTTGGGATTATTTAAGTGGAAAAACTTATTCTAAAGCCTAATTAGGAACTCTCTAGGCTGTGCTGTCCCATATAATAGCCACTAGCTACATGTGCCATCTACATTTAAATTAATTAAAACTAAATTAAAAACTCTATTCCTCAGTCACGCTAGCCCCAGTTCAAGTGCCCAGTAGCTACAAGTGGCTGGTGGCTACCATACTGGATGAGGCAGATACAGAACATTCCCATCATACAGAACATTCCCATCATTGCAGAAAGTTCTACTGGACAGCACTGAGTTAACTCTAAGGTCCCTGTGGAAGGCAAAGCCGTGGTGAGTTGATGGTACAAAAGAAAGAGTATGGCTACAGTGTGTAGAGGAGAGGAAGAGAAGTAAGAGGTGAGGCTGCAGAAACAGAGAGAGGCCATGTCAGACAGGCTATGGTAGGAGAGTGGGTTTTATTTTATGGCAGTGAGAAGCTGTGAAGGGCTTAAGCACAGCGGCATCAGAAAGTATCAGGAAGTCAGAGACTATGGAAGTGGTCCAAGAGAGATTATAATGGACTGGGGAGGTATCAATGAAGCCAAGGAAAAGTGGAGAGATGGGGGATGGTATTTTGTAGGAGGGATAGAAGAGCTGCCTTGCTAATGGACTGTGTTGGGCCATGAGGGAAAGAGCCAGATCCTGGATGACATTTCTAGACTAATCCACAGGCCCCTCTAACAAGTATTTCAATTTCTTTAGGGGATAAAATGGTCCTAAGACCTACAACTAGTAGGCAAATGAGCTATCTAAAGGATTTCTAATGGTAATAGCTATAGTGTAAGAGAACCCAAATGCACATACACAATTAGATCAACCTGCAAGGCACTGGGAATACAGCCTCTCACATTCACATCTGACCTGGGGCAGAAATGCACCTCAAACACAGCGTTTCCAGGTCTTCATCGCAGAGTTGGAGCAGGAGAGGCTTAGAGCATCACAGACCTATCAGGAGAGTCCTGATTTTTATGGCATGAAATCAAAAGGATAAGGGGAGCTAACAAGATAAAACCAAATAGAGACAAAAGAAACATAGCAGTTTTGTTTCCTCAGGATGATCAAAAGGTTTTGATATGAAATTTTAAGGATAAAAGCAAACCTAATTCTAATTTTTGAGAAAGAGACTTACGTTTTAAAAAAAAGCTTTCACAGAGGACAACTTGTATGATGGAACTCTGGTTGATTTTTAGGTGCAATTTTTCAATTTAACAGAAGATGTGATGAGAGAACTTTAACTATCATAATATAAAAACACATTCCAAATCTTCATGCCTTTTTGAGACAAGAGCCCTCAAAGGTGGGAACTGGCACACCAGTAGGTAGCACCTTCTCAGCCACCAAACAAAACCGCTTGTGCAGTTAGTTCAGACCAAAGTCAACTTGGCCTGAGTATTTTGGGACTTGGGGCAGAAGAAGGAACATTTTCCCAGAACATCCTGCAATCAGAGAATTTAGCATTTCAGTATTTCTAATGATGTGATAATTATATTACTTGCATGAGGAGAAACTGGGCTATTTAAATAAAAATTGAAGCATAGTAATTTGGAGTTTGGTAAACTAAGTTTCAAGAAACATATATTCTAATTCTGAGGTTTAGACATATTCTGTCATATTTCAGAAAAGTCAGCTAATTTATTTGGACCATTTTCCTAACTGAAAAATGGGTACCTCACAATTTAAAACCTTAAAGAGTTGGTGATGAAGAAAAGTCCTTGATAAAACTGAAGAATTCTGACTCTGAGATAATAAGCAAAAAGAGGGAAAAGTTTAAAAATCTGTTCATTTTGCCTTTGTTTAATCTCTGCAATTTCCATCTTGCTTTGCAATCCTGCAGAGCATATCTGGATGCAGCTCCTTTGTGGTTTTGAAAATCTTTTTAGGTAGACCAGTTTGGTCAAAAAAGCATGACAGTGAGGGGCCGGCCCAGTGGTATAGCGGTTAAGTTCACGCTCTCTGTTTTGGAGGCCCGGGGTTCCCAGGTTCGGATCCCAGGTGTGGACCGACACACCACTTGTCAAGCCATGCTGTGGTGGCGTCCCATACAAAGTAAAGAAAGATGGGCACGATGTTAGCCCAGGGCCTATCTTCCTCAGCAAAAAGAGGAAGATTGGCAACAGATGTTAGCTCAGGGCTTATCTTCCTTAAAAAAAAAAAAAAGGCATGATATTGAGCCAGTCCTGACGGCCTAGCAGTTCAAGTTCGGTGCCCTCCACTTCAGTGGCCTGGGTTTGGTTCCCAGGCGCGGAAATACACGACTTGTCTCTCAGTAGCCATGCTGTGGCGGCGACTCATAAAGAACTAACAAGAAAAAGTGAGGAAGATAAGCAACAGATGTTAGCTTAGGGCAAATCTTCCCCTACAAAAAACAAACAAAAAAACACAGCACAATGTTGAGAATGCAAAGCAATGTAAGAGACAGATGGAGATTTTGCATGGTACGGTGTTAAGTAGTCTCTGAGTCTTGAGAAGAGCCTGAGAACTGAATTTTTCGTTCCCCAAGTCTGTGGTGGGGCAGAGCAGAGAGGCCTGGTAGGAATCCTAGTACCCTGGCTTCAACAGCTGGATGACCCTGGGGAGTGATTAACCTCACAGAGCCTTAGCTCCCTCACCTGTAAAATGAAAATAAAGAGGTTTGTCTTTTGTGAGTGAAGCCTGAGTCTCAGGAGAAAATTGATCTGTGGATGTGAAATCTATTTGTAAAATGAGGTGTGTCTTAGGACTTCTATCATTATCAACACCCTTTTCCTGCAGTGGTTACCAGATGAGATGAGAACATGAGCCACATCTCTGTGGCCGTTTTGAAGCACGTCAGTACCCAGAACAGCATCTGTCCAAACAGCCGCATTCTCCAAGACCTGCAGATAACTCCAATGTCCAGCGTTATTAAATCCCCCATGAGCACAGATGCCTTGAGGCATCACTGTGCTACTCTTATGCAAGATTTCAAGACAAAAACTAAATAACAGAAAGCAGTGAATAGGTAACCCTTTAACAAAAATCAAAGAAAAATGAAAATGATTTGGAAATGGCAATAATTTAATGAACCCATTTTACTCATTGTCATTTACCTTGTCTGAAAAAAAATATCAGTAATTTTCTGAATGTTCTTATACCTGAAAAGTGAAACTAGTTCACAAAATAAAAACATACATAATCCAGTGTCAAAGAACTGGTGATTTAGAGAAACCACCCCTGTTTAATTTTTCCATCAGAGAGAGAGAAAAAAAATATGGTTCAATAATTCAGTGTTTGAGTCACCGGCAAATACTGTCTGCATCATTCAAAATGAGTGTTCTGGCTGTGAGCCCTGTGGCTCACGCTGATGGGCCACGAATCTTCCCGAGTTCAAATAAAGTGGAGAACCCACACAGGAACATTATGTGAGTTGAAAACAAGACACCCTATCAATGCACATAAAAAGAAAGTCTTTGAAAAATATCCAAATCTATAAAGGAATGAAAACACTCCTGTTTTGTTGTTGGTTTTGTTCCTTTTAATTATTAATTTTTGGTTTCTGAAGTAAACTTTGAAGGAGCTGTATGACTTTTTAAGTGGAAACCCAACAGACCACTGGCTAATACATACACTTTCCTTCTCAGATATACAGCTTTTTTCCCCCCAAAACTCTCTTTCATGATTTTTGTTATGGTTCAGAAAAGTAAAGAAAATGATTTCAAGTATTCAATTCCTATCAAAAATTGGTATCAAAAGTAATAAAGGACCTAGTTTCTTTATAATTCCATGTTTTAAAAAATAACTTAAGAAGCAAGAGGTCCGGCCCTTTCCTTGTATAAATACCCCGGTGTAACTAGAGTTTCTTAAGACAACGTGGAGAAGAGTCAGTGTTTAGCACCTCAATCATTGATCTTAACGTTGGAAACGTCTCTGACACGGATGGAAGAGTCTTGTAAGAAGGTGAAATACTGAAAAAGGAAAACACAAAGAAGGGGTGTGAAAATTAACACAATTTTACAAAAAAGGCAGAGCTTATATTTATTCCTATTATAATATTCACTCTCCAACACCCCATATGTATTATGTCAGACAATATTATGAAAGCAGGGAGGAGCTGTGAACAGAACAGATCCTTCTACAGCAATGGACGGGATATCAATAGGCTCATCTATGAGCTGCTTGGAAGTTCAACTGGAGTCTTTGGGAAATATAATTAAACTCTAATTTACACATGACTGTTATGCACACGTGTCCCGCTGGGATGCATGTTTTGACTTGGAATCAGCAAACACAGGTTTCGGGTCCAGCCTCACTCTTGATTAGCTTTAATCATTTCTCTAAGCCCCACTTTCCTTATTTGCAGCAACCGGGATAGTATTCTTAACTCACAGAGGTACCATGAGCATGGAATGAGAGAACGTATGTCAAAGTACGCTGTGAAAGGGTACCTGCACAATGTAAGGTAGCGCTGTTACACCTTCCTTAAAGAATTGTTGAAAGACCAACACCGTAAAAGTATGTAAGAAACAGAAGCAAGAGCTTTTGACCTCATATTACTAAGATATGTGTAAACTAGTAAACCTGGAATAAGAATATACTGGAACATGTTACAAGTTTTCATTACTAAGGTAATGGAATACTTACAAATTGAATATGAGTGTACTACAGATATGACTTTCTCCATTTTAAACAGAGCACAAATTATCCAGCAATTTTTAGAGTGGTTGCTATGTCAAATAGATGTGAAAGGCAAAATTGAAGGTGGTTATTATGTAAAAAACAGGGAGAAGGAGCAGGAATAAATAAGGTCAGTGAGTCTGCTTATTCTTTATTAACTATTAGAGCACGTGTGAGTTTAACTTCATCCCAAAGTTACACACTCCTCTGCAGCGCTTCTGGAAACAAGAGCCAGGGAAGATCAGAGTCTATTGGACTCCCCGCAGGGTAACTGTCAGGGATAATTTCTGACTAGTGTTTACTAACTCACATGTATTCCTCACCTAAATTAGGATCAAGTACCACTTTCTCAAAATCCAGAGTGCAGTAAAAATGCAGCTGAATAGGCAAAGTGCTACCACTAAGAATAAGTCTGAAATGGCTTCAGCTCATATCTTTCAAATTCACTCCTGAATACTGAACCTAAGGGTTTGGGATAAAGGGCAGTTTAGCCAAGAGAAATGAATATCTGATTATATAAATATGACATTTATAACTTTTCTTTCACAAACTAGTTTCCTTATTTTCTATTCATTATTCATTTCTACCCATACACTCATGCTTTAAGGGGTCTTACATGACAGCAAAACATTTTAACCTTGAAAAAGTGGATTAAATTCATTGTATAACTCTCAAAAATGAGTACAATTCCAGTCTTATAGAGCTCCAAAAGTAACAGGAAGTCCCTTTTTCTCCCTCTTTAGTTGTAATATCCTGTTGTTGACCCCCATCAAGTAGTTACCTTTTCAAGTTCATCCAGCTTTTAGCTATTTTGCTAAAGGCCTCTGACCCAGGAGCTGTCATAGCTTCAAAGTCAACTAACTGAAAAAGAAAGAAATTTAGAAATGTGATTAAATATGGAGGAGAAAGCCTCTGGAGATCTGTTAGCTCATGTATCTCACCACAAAAGCCACAGATTGGGATTTAAACACACAACCAACCATTTTCCCTTCCAGCTCCAACGCACCTTCCCTTTGGGAATTTTTCCTGCTACTTCTTTTCCACTTGCCATCAGTGCTCCCACGATCACTGAGTAAGCTATTACACTGTTTAAATAAAGAACAATTACCAATCAGTCCTAGTGTACAAACAGTTACCATGTTAAAGCTCACCATGGAGTTTCCATCATAAAAGATGAAATTTTACTTCTTTTAAGAATTCTTTAGACATTAAAAATAAGAATATTTTCATTTGTTTTAAAAAAAATTACTAATTTAATAATAAAAATATTTACTGATTTAGTAATTTAAGGGTAAATGTGACCAAGAATATTCTTTTTCTGAGAAAAAAAGTGTTTCTTTTAATTAGACGTTTTCTTCCCACTTGGCTTTTCTATTCTTGTGAAATAATGAGTTAGAAAACGTGCTTGCTTATTTTTAACAACTTTACGAGGCTTAGCTTTGAAACGCACATATACAATATACTTTGTAAATATAAACATATTATTCTTATTGTTTATGCATTAAAAACTTTGGTTCCCAAAGAAGAAAAGCAGAACACACTCTCAGAATGTACTAACAGACTGGTTTGAAAATCAATATGTTATATAAATTTCCTTCCTGGTATATAGCAGACTCACTTTTGATTCTGACATATTTATTATACACCAACTATGTGCCCCTTTGCAAGTCACCCCAGGACAAATAACTAAGGTAAGGCTACTGCCTCTGAGAACAAGCAGCCTGGCCGGGGGGACAGAGAGCATGAGTGCCGGCAGAGAACGCCTCCAAGTGCAATGAGTGGACACCAAGGCAAGTGAGTTCATCATGGAGGTTGCCTACCAGAAAAGACCTCACAGAGGCCACGGGCACGTGCACTGCATCTTCCAGGGCCCAGGGCAGGGCAAAGGAGGCAGAGAAAGAAGGGAAATGGGCTGGCATGGAGTGAAAAGCATGTGTGCAGACATGAAGGTGTGAGGAAAGGCAGAGAGGTGTGGTGGAGAGAGCCAACCTGAGGAACCTCAAGAAGTTCCACAGACCCTCGAGAGGTTCCAAAGGGCAGATGAAGGAGAGAGGTGATGAGGCCAAGGTAAACCAGGGCAGGACAGGGACTGGCACCGTGCATGTTGCCACCGAGTCTGCACTTGAGCCAACAGGTATTGGGAGCCAATGGGTATAACAAACTGTGGGACACAGAGACGGGAAGGAGAAAAGCCTGGATGCAGGAGACCAGTTAGAAAGGTTACAGCAGGAGATGACAAAAGTCTGAACTATGGCAGTAGCTGTGAGCAGAAGAGAACAGAGGGTTAGGAGGCAGAATCAACAGCATTTAGGGACTGAAAGCAAGAGTCGAGGATGACTGGAGCTGTACTTCCTTCATGTGTCACACACGAGCCAACAGAGCTGCTGTGAGGACAATGATAAGTGCTGGGTGTTGGCACAGTGCCTGCAGAGTGGCTGATAAGAGGTGGTGTGTGCAGGTCTCATGCACATCATAGATTTAGGGGACATAGCTAATAATAATTATGCTGATATTACAATGTTTGTGTTTCTATTTTGTTTCAATGCCTTTTTAATATTATAACAAAATTTACTACCACACTTAGGAGAGTTTTACTTTTAAAGTATTAATTAAAGATAAAGACATTCTAGCATATATTTTAGCCACATCTTAAATTCAAATATGTGCTAGCAACAGCATTTGCCATGTACATGATTTACTGCATATAGTGCTGGGTAAAAGAGAATAAAAAGAAAACTTTACAGATACATCCCTTGTTTTAATGACACCTAAAAAACACCCAATGGATTCATAAGTAGCAAGAATTTATTCACGATAATAAAAATAGCATGGAATGGTTGGTGACTCAAAAGTATATAACATTAGGGTTAAAGGTCAATTAATGGCCAAAAATTGGGAGAGAGAGGAGAAGAGGGCAGGGCAACAGCCTGGGCAAACATCAAAATTAAAATACAGTGAGCACGATGCATGCACAGAGTCAGCCCTCAATACATTTCTATTGAATGAATGAATCCCTAGCCTGTAAAACTTAAGCACACTATATGCAAACTATCTTTCCTAATTCTTTTGATAATGTGGTAGATGAAGGAAATAATTTTTGAGTGGATTTTGAAAAAAACAAAAGGGGGCTTCTTGCCATTGCTTGGGGGTACTTTTGTACCTACACCCACAACAGGAAGTATGAGCAAAAAAGAACATGCTTTTCAATGTAAAAACTTAAATTATATCCCTCACCTGGATCCTCGAGAGAGTGGCATTAAATTATAAAAGTAATAAACTAAAGATAAGATTAAATTGCAAACAGCATCAGCCTCCTAGAAAAAAAAGACACATGCTCATGAACTTAAATACTAGATTATAAACCAGTTTTTTATTAGGTGACAAGACATATAAGAATCATTTACTCAGGAAAAGAATTATTTCATTCCTCTCCTACAAGAACCTCCTTTTCACATTCTTGAATATTTTATACTCTTTTGTATCATTTTTTCTAACGAAAGGGTATACATACAGTTCAATTTAGAGCAATATTTTCCCAGCTGTTTTTAAAACTGCAACCTCTTCTGATAAACATAAAAATTCCAGTCTTTTTTTTTGGGGGGTGAGGAAGATTGGCCCTAAGCTAACATCCATGCCCATCCTCCTCTATTTTTTTGTACAGGGGATGCCACCACAGCATGGCTTGATGAGCGGTGTGTCAGTCTGCACCTGGATTTGAACCTGTGAACCCCAGGCCGCCCAAGCAGAGCACAAGAACTTAACCACTACGCCACCGAGCCGGCCCCTCTTTTTTTTTTATTGAAGTGTAATTGACGTACAATATCCTATTAGTTTCAGGTGTACATCATAGTGAGTTAACATTTATATACATTATGAAATGATCACCATGGTATGTCTGGTTACCATCTGTCACCATACAAAGTTATTACAATATAATTTGCTACATTCCCTGTGTTGTACATTACATCCCCATGATTCATTTATTTTATAACTAGACGTTTGTACCTCTTAATCCACTTCACCTATCTCAGTCTCCTTTCATGCTCTTTGAAATATCAAAATGTAAACTGAGATTAAAATAAAATAAAGCACTTATTAACACCAAATATGCTGTCTCAAAGTACATGCCTCCCTACCCCCAGATTCTAATAAGCCCCTGCTCCACACTGAGATTTAGGTGATAAATATGCTTAATTATGTATAAATACTTAGATGCTTAATTATAGGTACGAACTAATTAAATGCAAGAGAAATAAAGTGACTTCCCAGGGGCCACAGGCATCCACTCCAGAATGTGAATGGAGTGCCCACCATACTCTTGGCATAGTGGTAGCTGCAGCCATGAAGGTGACATGCCAGATCCTGCCTCCAGGGAGCACCCCCCTCCAGTCGGGGTGGGCCAGGGAGGGAAGAGGTCACAGACCAGGAAAGGGCCACTAATTGCAGCACAGGCCACTTTCATTATGGACTAACTTTTTCATTTACATCTTAACAAAGCCCAAACTTATGATAATATAATATAGTAAATTTATAAATAATAAATTTATTATTCCCCAATTACTGTAGTTATTAAATATGGGAACTGTTTCCATAAGAATATTAAAAAGAAATATTTATAGGTCATCAATTAAAGCTGATTTCAAGCAGAAGATGTATAATCCCAATGAAAGGGTAGAGGCTTTAAAAAGTTTACAAAAGAACCATAGGAAGCATGGATAAAATGGAAACAAACAAAAACCTACCCCAAATTCTGATGAAAGAATTAGTACTTTTCCTTTTGTTGTTAGATCTTTATAAAGTGCATCTATTTCAGCATGATATAATTGTGTTCTTTCTTCTGTAGTTTGAGTTTCCACAGAAAACAGTATATTGCCAACCCTAAAAATACAAGAATGTACGTCAAAGGCATGTTTCATATAATTCAAATAGCCAAACACAGAAAGTAACTAAAGGAAGCAAATAGCATGCTGATGTGGCAAAAGATGTATCTAAGAACATATCCTACCTTCCTAACTACAGACAGATGAAACATGTTTCCTAAGTATGCAATTTTTTCACAAAATATGATATTTGGCTCAGTCTAACCACACATACTTATTACATATGAACTTAGGCAAATACAAGAGGAAACAACTACACACAGTAAAGGACACATTTAAACACTCAGTAAATATTCTATGAGCCAGCCACCATATTATGATTGAAGATCAGGAACAAGAGCTGTGTGCAGAAAGAAAGTTTAAGGACTCCACTGTTTTCCTTTGAAAGCTTTTGCTGCATGCTTAGCTCCATGTGAGGCTCTATGGAGGATATAAATTTGATGCAACAGGTATTTATTGTATAACACCAGTAGCAAAAGGCTGAATATAGCCCTTAGATCCTATAAAGAAGAGCGCAGCACAGCTGCTGCCTTTGTTGAGGGAGGGAGGGAGAAACAAGGCCACAAATTATTATGAGACCATGCTTAGGGCCATAACATCGTTCATCAGAGGTTCAAAAGAGGGAGATCAGATCTAATTTGGAAGACATGGAAGAAAACAGGAAATGTTTCATGGAAGAAGTGGACTGAACTTGGGTCTTGAAGATCAGGGTGGGAGTGACAGAGGTTCAGAGATAGGAGGTCGGAGGTGACCTCAGGGAATAAGAAGTCCAACTGAATTACCAGGCCCGGTTCTAACAGGAAAATAGTTCAGGTTAAGGAGGAAATATTGTTCAAGGCCACATTATGGAAGGCCTTGAATGCCTGGCAGGAGAGTTGGTTTTGGGTATCGATAGGCAATGGCAGGGTACGGACTGGGGAGGGATTTCTGGAGCCAGGGAACACCCAATGGAGTGGAGCCTTAGGAACATCGATGAGCACTGGTAAGCCACCAGGAGATGGAAGATGGCAACATCACTCATGAGTCTATGTGAGGGCTTAGAGGCCCAGAGCAACAGAGGCAATGAATGGGGTGAAACAGACAGTTGAAGAAAGATGCTACGTCTCATGGGGAAGGAATTTTATGTACTCTTTTACTCAGTAAATCCATTTCTGCCTGGGAATTTAATCTGAGGCTACATATATATCATGGTTGGGTGAAAAGGTAGGAGAATAATTTTTACATTAATAGCAAACCCTGGAATTCCTTTTGGGGGTAGAATTATCTTTATTGGGAAATAGAGTCATGTGCTGCATAACAACATTTTGGTCAATCACAAACCGCATATACGATGGTGGTCCCTTAAGACTGGTACCACATAGCCTAGGTGTGTAGTAGGCTATACCATCTAGCCATCAAGGAACGTGTATTGAGGATGGGCGGCAGGCAGTACATGGTGAGGTTCTAGGTAATTCCACCCAAAATTCAAGGGATATGGAGGCTCCTAGATGAAGTCTTGATTTCAGATGTAAATAAAACTATAGTTAATAAAAACATTCACTAGTGTGTGCTATTTTTAAAGTGAAAAAATAGGAAACATTCTAAACGATCAATAAAAAAAAAATTAGCAGGAGAAACTCTACAACATCCAAAAAATGGAATACTTACCAATTATTTAAAATGCTTATAACAATAGGATATGGGAAAATGTTCATGATAAAGTTATGGTAAGGGTAGAAAAGAAACAGGTTACAAAACAATATGTATAGCATAATCTCAGTTTTTAAAGAATAAAAACAATGATTTTTATTTTTTTGTTTTTGCTTCTCTGTGTATTCTAAATTTTCCACAATAAGATTGCACTCCTCTTGTAATACATTAAAACTTGTATTAAAAAAATATCTTACCATGGCCTTCAATCTGCCAATTTCTCATCTTTTTTAATTTTATTAGGAAAAGCCTTCCCCACAATGAACTTCAAGAACCCAGAAGAATGCTTTCCACAAACCACATCAGAAATTATACTTAATATCTAGAAAGTTGTTAGATTTAGCATAGTCAGAAAATGTATCTGTCAGTACAAACTCTAGATGTCACATTAACAAAAATAACTGGTTCTAGCTACGCACTGGACCTTGATAATTTTCATTTCAGGATAAAGCAAAAGCCCAGTGTGTGGAACGTCTTGTGGTGATATCAAGCATATGCATACTTTCTGACACCAGCCCCCGTCTTTATCCCCACACTCAGGAAGCATACGTACTTGTCTCCTGTAATAGTGATTGTGAATCCATCATATTCCTTCCCTTGATCTTTGAGGCTGGGAACTTTTGTGTTCACAGTGAACCCATCCTTCGTTTTAGTATTAAACTGCTTTCAGGGAAAAAGAAAATTCACGTTACTAGTGTATAATTCAACCCCAACTGCTACTCTGCAGCACCGACTGATTTCCATGTTTTTAAGAAGGGTCATCAAAGTCCCTGATGCAGGAGACGATGTATTCTCTATCCCGGCAATTAGTTCCAAGGACGCCTCTGAGCGTCCCCAGGCCCCAACACAGACTCTAAGCCCAAGTTACACTTCCCGTGGCCCCTAACGGAGGCCAGCAGAGAACCTCAGCATAAAAGGCTCACAGACTCTCTTCATCAGCAAGGGGCCCTGCTCAGTCCTAGGAGCTCCTTTTGGGACTTTTTTCATGTTCATTTCAATCAGCAGCAACTTTGATTCTTAGCAGAATAGTTGTATCCAATATCCTGTAGCTCAAAAAAGCACTTTGTGTTCATGCTAGTGCTCCTTCAAGGCAGAGTCTGATTTTTCTGAAAAGTACTCAGAATTATATTTGTCAACTGGAGAATTACACACACACACACTCACACTCACACACACACACTCTCTCTCTCTCCCCCCCCCCAACTCTGCAGACCACAAAGAAGTATGTAAAAGGAATTACACAGAGCTAAGAACAGCCCTCAGCAGTGACCAACATAAAGGCAGTTGCAGATGTCAGCTTTTTGTTTAAGACAGTTTTGACAAAACTGAAATACTAATAAATAGGTTTTGTCATTACTCCAGAAAAATCCTCCCTAAATTCAGTTATTTAATGTTGCCAACTTTTTTTTTCTTAGGATTGATAGACTTGACTAAGAGAACCAACGATAAAATAAAAGGACGTTGTGCTTCACATACGACACTGCTGGGGCGAAAGGTTGTCTAAAAACAGCAAGACCCAGCAGCTGTTCATTGACAGTCCAGAGAAGGACGGGGGGTGAATGGAAAGGCGCTGGACAGCACAGGGCATCAGAGCCAGCAGCAGGAACCGGAACAGGGAGCATCTTTCATGAGGAAAAGGACTTTTAGAGGAAGAAATATGTTAACATTTCCTATGCGCCAATTCGTATTTAACGCTCACAATACACCAGTAAGAGGGCATGATCTCGACCTCACAGATGAGGAGAGCAGCTCGGTGGGTGAGGTCCTGGCCTGAGTTAGTGAGCAGGGAAGGGCAGAGTGGACTGTGGACCCAGTCCACAGTCTTCGTGGACTGCAATCCACGCTATTGGCTAATAAGCTGCCTCGAGGGGAGCTGAGGTATATTTTAACTTGGTTTTTTACCAAAAGTACATTGTATATTTCAGCAGAAGCTGTCATAGCATCAAATTTCACCAAACACTTTAAATATAAAGGTATTTTTTTATGTACTTCTATGTGTGCCTTTACAAATACCAATATACCCATAATCCTAGGCAAACGCTAGGTGTACAACGCTAGCAGAATGGTCACATCCAGACATACAGTCAGACAGGCAGTGACTTCACACTGGGAGGCAAGCACCGGCAGGCGATGCTCGGCCTCTCTCAGCTGCACTGTAAGTAACTACAGTCTTGTAGTCCATTATGTTTTTCTTTTTAAACAAAGACACATATAAAATATTAAAATCTCCCTAGGCTGATTTTGTATTCTGCCTAATACAGTAAATTTAAAATACCCACAGGAAAGCTAAAGATTAAAAACTGAGACATGCACCATTTTCTTTCTGTATGGTGCATCCCAGCAGCCCTCAGTGGAGCCGTTCTGCCCTCTGGGGGGCATTTGGGGAATTTATGGGAGAGTGTGGTGACTACAGTGATTAAGTGGGTGGGGGGGGCCAAGACTCTCAGATGTCCCACAGCGCGGGGGACAGTCACACATTATGCATGACTTCCAGTGCCCCACTGGACTTTCACATGGATGTTTATAATTTAATAATTACTTGGGCCTGGAACCAGACTCCATTTTACACTTATACACTGAATATTTGTTACATAGTTTTCATACACACTGAGTCTTCCAGGAATGCAAACAGCATATAAATGGAGAGAAGAGTGTATTATATATTGTTTGAATAGGTTTTGGTCATTCACACAAATTTCTTAAATTTTATCTGATGTAAATCAATCTTATCTACTACATCTACAAGGAGAACATTTATTCAAGTTTTACATTAATTCAAACAATTAAGTGAAAAAATCAAATCTACCTGTTGTTGGCACATTTTGGGGTATATTTTGGGTATATACCTAGATGAAGAAAAGGGTCATAAAATTATAACTTCTTAACAAATTCTACTTTTAAACAATATAATTTCTGTCCCCTGAAGTGCTCTTTATCTTGCAGTCAAAGTTTCTGATGTTGACACCGCCACACCTACTTTTCCTTTCATTAGCATTGCCTGGTATACCTCTCCCCCTTCAACCTTTTAAATGTCATTCTGTTGTACATGCTTCTTGTAAACAGAATATAGCCGAACTTTAAAAAACCAATCTGAGATCCTCAATCTTTCAATAGGGGGTTCAATTATGAATGTCATGTTGAGATTTGTCACTGCCATTACATACATTTTCTACTCACCTGATTTTTTTTCCTCCTCTTTTTGTAAGCATTTAGCTGAACTGACTTGGTTTTCTTCATTCCATTTTCTTACCTTCTAGGGGTTTAGAAGATTATACATCCATCTCTATCCTTTCAGTGTTCACCTTTACATTTTTTTTTGGCTGGGAAAGATTTGCCCTGAGCTAACATCTGTTGCCAAACTTCCTGTCTCTCTTTTTTTCCCTCCCCAAAGGCCCAGTACATAGTTGTATATTCTAGTTAAGTCCTTCTCGTTCTTCTCTGTAAGCTGCTGCCACAGCATGGCTACTGACAGGCAAGTGACGTGGTTCTGCGCCTGAAAACTGAACCCAGGTCGCTGAAGCAGAGCACGCCGAACTTTAACCACTAGGCCATCAGCGCTGGCTCTACTTTTACTTTTTTTTTTGGCTTGAGGAAGATTAGCCCTGATCTAAAATCTGTGCCAATCTTCCTCTATTTTGTACGTGGGTCACCACCACAGCATGGCTTGAGTGGTGTAGGTCCGCATCTAGGATCCGAACCTGCAAACCTGGCTGCCAAAGTGGAGTGCGCCAGACTCAACCACTACGCCATGGCGCCAGCCCCTACCTTTTCATTTTTAAAACAGATATTTAAACTTGTCTTTTTGTGTCAATATCACAGGTCAGTCAGTGATTATATTCTCTCAATAGTACATTTTTACTTCCTTTCTCTACTTTCCTCAACCTCTAATGTTGACATTACTTAGTATTTTAATTTCAGACAACATTTATATTTTTTAACATTATGCATTAACAATTCATTTCATTGGCTTTTTGTTCACCACTATTTCTTATATCTCGTGTTTTCTTCCTTCTCGGGTTCATTTTGTGAGAGTACATACATCCTTGAATCATTTTGACAAAGAGGATTTAGGCTGGGTGAAATTTCTAAATAACTGTATGTTTGAGACAGTCTTTATTTTACCCTCACACCTGAACCTTGGTAGGGTTGGCGCAAATAAATTTCTGTTTATTGTCTTCTAGAATCCACTATTGCTGGAAGGAAGTCAAGCATCAGTGGGATTCTCTTTCCTTAGTATTTAATCTGGTTTTTTCTTCTCTAGTAGCTTTAAGATGTTCTCTTTATTCTTTGTATATGTAAGATAAAATATACATATTATAAAAGTTGCCATTTCAACTATTCTATGGCATTAAGAACATTCACCTTGTTGTGCAACCATCACCATCACTAACTCCCCATTCTCCCCTCTTCCCAGTCCCTGGCAACTACCATTCTACTTTCTGTCCCTATAAACTTAACTACTCTAGGTACCACATATAAGTGGAATCATATAATATTTGTCCGTTTGTGACTGGCTTATATCACTTAGCATACACCACTTAGCATAATGTCCTCTATGTTGTAGCATACGTTAGAATTTTTTTACGGGCGAATAATATTCCATTGTAAGGATATACCACATTCTGTGGATCCATTCACCCATCAATGGACACTGGGTTGCTTCTACCTCTTGGCTATTATGAATAACACTGCTATGAACATGGGTGTACTGTTTGAGTCCCTGCTTTCAATCCGTATGGATATATACCCAGAAGTAGAATTGTTGGAGCATATGGTAATTCTATGTTTAATTTTTTAAGGAATTCCCTTTAATTTTGAAGTCCCAAAATTTTATCAGGATGTGTTTAGGTGTCAGTATTTGAACATTCATCATGCTGAACATTCAGTAGGCCCCATACTCATCTTTTCATCTCCCTACAACATTTCCTTCTATTATTTTGTCAGCTAATTCTTGTGCTTCTTTATCTTTCTTCTCTCCTTCCAGAACTTCTATCAGATAGGTCCATTCTTCATCTTCTGTGTTCACCTTCTCTCATGTTTTATATTTCTTTGTCCTTTTATACTACATTCTGGGAGAATTCATTGCTTTCATCTTCCAGCTCATATATGTGATATTCAGCTGTCTTCAATCTGCTAGTCTAACTACCTGAGATTTTTCTTAATGTATGAGAATTCTGATTATTTCTTTTCTATTGCTACCATCTATCAATCTATCTATCTACCTATCTATCTATCAATCATATGATACTGGGTCAAATCTCTCAGCAAATTAATTTATGTACTTTTCATTGAGGTAAAACATATACAATAAACTACACATGTATAATTTAACGCATTTTGACAAATATATACATCCATGTAACCACCACTCCAATCAAGAAATAGTGTATTTCCATCACTCTGGAAAGTTTCCTCCTGCTCCTTTCTGGTAAACTCCACCCCTCATAAGCAATCACTATTCTGATATCTATCCCCATAGATCAGTCAAAACTTCTTATAAATGGAATCATACTCTTTCGTATCTGGCTTCTTTTGCTCAACATAATGTTTCTGAGGTTCACTTCTGTTGCTGTGTACAGCAGTATGCATTCTGGTTTTTATTACTGAATAGTATTCCATTGCTGGCCTCCCCTGAGAAACACTGAAAGATTCTTGTGAAACTCTCTGATCTGGAAGATGGCCTCCAGACCAGGAAAGCTGTGAACTGGCACACAAATCTTGGGCCATATACAAAACCAAAGTGGCACCAACTTTGACTTCATCTCATTTGACTTCATGCAAATAAAGGGGGCGCGGTGCTAGGAAGCCACATCTGGGTGCTTGCTGGGCCTCATAATGAGACTGAAGTTGCTGTACAGGCTTGTTCTCTGTCCAGCATCCTGCTAAGCAAACCTAGTGCCAGACTGAAGACAGTATGTCTTGTGAGTTGATTACCAGTCTGAATCTGAGACCACTGACTTTTGAGTCCTAGAATTTTCTTTTGGTTCTTTTTATAGTTTCCATTTCTCTGCTGAGATTCTCTATCATTGTATTCATGTTTTCCTTTAAGTCACTGAACGTATTTATGAAGCAGACAAGGACTTTAAAAGAGCTAATTCCAACTTCTGGATCATCTCATCTCTGTTCCTATTAACTGGTTTTGTTTTTCTTGGTTATGTGTCACATTTTCCTGCTTCTTCACTTATCTAACATTTAAGGAGTCTAGATTATGTTGCCTTCCTTTAAAGGGTGTTGAGTTTTGTTTCGACAGGCAGTCAAACCACTAGCAGATCCATTTAATTCTTTTAGGCTTGGTTTTATTCTTTGTTAGGGTAATCTGTTTGGAAATTGTCCTTTGTCCTAGGATGTAGACCTCATCCTAGAGTGTGGTCTTACACCTACTGTGTGTCCTTTCGGGGGTCTTGACTAAATGCCCAAGATGCTCACACGGTCCCTCCACTATGGCGAGGCCAGAATTCCAATGTTTCTCGGTACTGTAAAGCCTCTGATACCTCTGGCATCTCTCTTGGCCACACAGCCACTCCTTGCTGAGCCTCTCAGAGTCTCACTGCATGCGCACAGCCCAGCTTTCAGCCAGAGCTGACAAAGAACTCCCATCCTGACCTCTGGGCACTTCCCACCCTGCACAGCTCCCTCTTCTTCTGTACTCTGCCTGCAAATTCCAGGCACTTCAGCAGACCCAAACTCCAATCTCTGCCTCCTTAGCTCAGCAAGACCACCATACTCAACTTGGGCTCCACACACCTGTACAGCTGTCTAGTAAATACTCCCAGGCAGAAAGCTCTTTCATGAATCAGTCTTGTAACTTCCCAATATCTGAAAATAGCTGCCTTGTATTTTGTCCAGTTTTATAATTGTTATGGTATGGAAGGGCAGTGGAGTACAGTTACTCCACTGTGGCCAGAAGCAGAATTCAACTGGATGCATTTTTAAGTTTTCTTCTGTTTCTTATATCAACTGCTTCCTCACAGATTTGTTTTTATGTTTGAGTCTGATGCCTGTGTTTTATTTTATTTTGGTTATTATTCAGAGTGTGTTTATATTAGTGTTTTCAGGTAGCACATTTTATAAATTTTAAAACACTTAGAGTGTAATATTAATAAACATGCATTTAAAAATCATGAATTCTTTTTAAAGAATTGCTATAGTTTTTTTTCCCCAAAAACACCTACTGTGATTTTGATAATAAATTTACCTTCATAATTGGAAGAAGGTCTTCTACTTTGTGTACCTTTTCCAGAGCTTCTCTAACTTCCAACAATCCTTTAGGATTATTAGCTCTTAAAAAGAAAGAGAGAGATGGAAACTAAAATTAATACAGGAAGGTAATAATTAATTATGCTATTACCTTTAATTTAAATAAATCATCCTTAATTATGAGTAGCTTAATATTCAAAATGGTGGGTCACAACTAAAGTTTCTAAATAAGGGGATGGTTTAATCCTAATGAGTTTGGGGCTACAGATGAGAATTAAGAAAATACGTAACAGCCCATCTAGAAGGTGAAACAGAGAAAAGCAGAATGGATTGACAGCCAGTGTTTGTGTATACATGTATGGGTCCGGGTTTGGTCATAAAACCTGATTCTTCTTTTCCAACTCTGAAATTAGAAGTAAATGTTTTTTCTTTCTAAAGTTGCCCAAATGGAAGTATCCTGCTAGGTTTTTATACCAGTTTTATATTTACTTGGTGATAACTAACCATTCAGAATTCTTTTTTTTCCAATGTTCTGTTCACTGTTATGTCTATACCATATTGCCTTTCAGGTGAGGGAGAATGAATAGTAAGGCCAAAGTCCCTAATAAAGAAACTCAAAGAAACATCTGCTTTTTAGAAGGAAGAGCCTAGAAAAGTCATAATATTGTGTGTAAGATTAAAAACACTTAGTTAAGGTCCATGGATTTTATGAAGCTATTAAAAAGAAGGTTGTTAAGTGATCATAAAAGGCTTTATGATTCCAAACACTATGTAAAAATTTGCTATATTTTGTTTCATCTGTCAATAGGCTTAGTTTTCAAGTTTCATAAATATAACAAATGTAAAATATATGAAATCTATCCACTACTATGAAAAAGAAAATTGAAGGATTACCCATGATAAACAAGAATTCTATCTTTAATAAAATGAAGAATTTTCTCAAAATATTCCAGGTATCTCATGTTAATCACCTGACCCCTGTAAGAAAAAAAAATTAAGAATCTTTTTAAAAGGAATATGTTCCAAACAATATCTAATTTCCTAGTTAATTCAAAAGAACAATAAGAGAGCTCTGAGAACAGTGTAGTACAAAAGTTTGGGAAATTTGCTTGTTTGCAATCAATGAATGGGAGAAGCAAAAAACTGTCTGAGCAAGATTGCTCGTCAGCTCTTGGAGCTTATCCTGGTAGAAAAGGCACCAACCTCAGCCGTGGAGATGCCAAATGGGAAGAAAAAACCTCAAGCATTTAAATGAGGTTCAGACCTTTATGTCAATTTCCTCTGATGGATCTCTTCACTTTTTCAGCAATATGCCTTCTCCTCTCTCTTGGTTCTCCTGATAGCGTTATCTGCTAATACCCCTTCTGGCTGTCTAGCTAACTAGCAGGTTTCATCTCCTCTACTCGCTCTAAATATTATTTTCCTCACATTTCTATCCCCACCTCCCGTTTTTAAAACTCTCTCCCAGAACTCCATGTACAGCCAACAAGCTGATGTACACATCCAACTGATGTACATGTGTACAGCACCATACACATATCCAACTGCTCCCTGGATATCACTCCCTGGATTCCCCACAGGCATCTCAAACCTCAAGTTCATAACTGTCAAACAGGAATTCACTCCTGCACCCTGCACTCCTCCCAGCTTCAGCCCCCAAATGTGTCCACCTACTTTTTGTCCTGCTGCTACCTGGCCTATTGGGACAACCATGTACCTGAGCTGGCAATCAGATGGCCTCCCTGTAGTTCCATGCTCTCCCCTGTTTCTGACTCACCACCAGCGCTCCCAGTTCTGCCTTCTCAATATCCATCTCCTCCCCTCCAACTCACTACCACAGAGCTTTCCAGACCTTTGTACTTGTTTGCCTGAATTACTATACAATTTTCTAACCACTTCCCTTGCCTCCAAAGTTGCTGCCCCTCTCTAACCTATCTGCTACCTGCAGCCAAAGTGATCATCTGAATGTGCAAATCTGCTCGTGTCACTTCTCTGCTTATAATCTCTGAATAGCTTCTCCATCATCTTCAGGGAAAAACAACGCCTTAGCATGGAATATAAAGTTACTTATATTTTGGAAAAAATGTTATTTATATTTTGGTCTCTGCCTGTCCTTCTAGCCTTAATTTCTGATACTCCCTTAACTGCCAAGTAATCACCAGTCATAATGAATCAGTCACATTCTCCTGACCATGCCTGATTCACTTGTGGGTCCATGCCTCATCCACCTCTCTCTGCTTTCCCTCCTTCCAAATAGCTCAGGCATCACCTGAAGGCTGGACTGGGCACTCCTTTTCTGTGTCCCCCGGCATCCTGTACACATGACCACCATTACTCTTAACACACTACACAGTAGTTCTCTGGTCTGTCTTCTTCACTAAGCTATGAGCTTTCTGAAGTCAGGGACTGTATTTCACTTCTATATGACCACCATGCAATACAGCACATTGACAGTGGCCTTCAATTAAAGCTAGCTGAGTCTATCTATAAATGTCACAAATTATTCCATAAGAAACAAGTAAATATACACATCAAAAGGGGAAAAGAAATTTATTTTCTAGAAATTAAAAAAATAAATATATTAATGATATTTCCATTAAACTTAAATGGCAAAGTTGTATAGAATATTTTTTTGATTCAGGTTTCTGGAACTAGAAGCATTTTAGATGTGACACAACTACCACATTTGTAAATTTTATCTAAAATTAAATTCAGTGGGTCCCCTTTAAGCTGATATTCTTTAACATTTGTTCATCATTTATTTAGAGGGTGGCTAAGCACATGAAGGGAGGGGTAAAGAGCTGAGCACTTCACTCATGTCTCTAACTTGCAGAGCCTCTGGACAAGACAAGAGCTCTCCAGGTAACCTGGCTCACTCTCCCAGGATGGCAGCTTAGCAACCAGACAGTGTTATTGATCCAAACCCTTTGTGTGTTGCGGGGTGGGACAGGGGAGCCTCTCCCTTGTCACAACAGATTCATCAAAGAGTTCTTTGAGCTATGCAATATTATCAGGATATTATGGTAAATGTAATGTTCTCCATCTAATTACTTTCTACGATGTTTTAGGACCCTTTAAAGACTGACATTCTAGGCAAAAATCTGGCAGTCTACCCTTCAAATGAGCTCTGCATCACAGAGAAGAGCCTGCAGAAGGAGCACAGCATGTTCTGCATCTCTTTCTGCAATTGGACTAGTTGAAAGGAATGCAGGCAGAACTCTGCAGGTGCAGAGCCAATCTGTGTATTCCCTTGTCAAAAAGTCACCAGGAAAGAAACAATGAGCCAGTCATGGTCTCCATGATCTGTCTATTTAGAATAAACTCCAGTGAAATCAAGAAAGATGCACAGAAGGTTCATACCTGATTAAATTGATGTGGTTGTTAAAACCTCTGCTAAGACTTCGTGCTGGCATTTGATCTAACCATAACACTGGCTGGTCTGGGTCAGCAATCCTATAAAACAGAGCTTGTTAAAGATGAAGACCTTATAAAACCTAAAAATGTTCAAAAGCATTAAAAATAAAACATGTAAGAGTCTTTGCAAAAGTGAGGAGAAAGCAATTGCTGAGTCAATTACATCTAAAAATATGAAACACAAACCTGCAAATTCCAAATAGGTGTTCCAATTCGATCAAGTAAGAAGTCAGTACAGGTTTACCAGTACAGCAGTATTTTTCTCATGAAAATGAATATCAACGGTTCCCTCCTTAAACTGTAGAAGGTTAGCCAGGCACACACTTCAACTATAAAGAGACTGGTACACTGAAGTTCATTCCAAGGTACCACAGGTGATGATATACTCCCTCAAAGAGACTGCTTTTTCTAAAATTCTTCATTTAAAAATGTGCTTGGAAACACAATAACAATCAATTCTTATTTCATAAATATTAGTTGAGTGTATTTCAATGCATAATAATGCCAGCAATTTCTGACAAACTTTAGAGAGGAAAACATAACTTATAAGGCCTACTGTTAGTAAATAAAACAGGATTCAAAATCTGTTAAGTAGAGGAGAGTTACATTATTTTACAATGGTAAGACTTCTAGTTTATTTGCACTTAAACATTAGTTACCGTCTCCACTTTACTGCGATGTCAAACATGTCTCTCCACTGCATCAGCCGTGTTTTTCCATTCATTCGAACCTTCGAGTTGGTCCATGTACGCTGTACAGCTTGCATGACTTCCAAGGCTGCCAAACCCATGGCTAAAAGAAAGAAATATTGAGAAAACAGAGATTGTAAGTATACGTTAGAGGGACTGATTTTCACTGAGTCTCATTATATTTTCGCTGAGTCTCATATATTTTCACTGAGTCCAGACTCATTATATTAAGAAAGAATCACAAATACTGGTAATTTAACAAGACCGGAGATATATTACAATCATGACACGATCAAGACTAAAATCTATCAGAGGAAACTAGAGACACCCCCAAAGTTGTCTCCTCCCAACTCTGCCTCCTTCTGAAGCAACTGGAGGTTCAAATTCTTCCTCACTCGCGCAGTAAGGAGACAGCTCCCGTGGATGAGCTGTCTGATCTACACGTAATGACTGAAGATCTGTATTCTACATCTACATTACAGCAACAGCTCAAAAGCCAAGGCTGGAAGCAGTCTTCTCTCAGAATTCAGTATGAATGGATCTATACATTTCTGTTCTGATTACATGCAGATTTTTGAATAAGTGCAATAAATGATTTTTTTAAAAGCACAACATGGTTTAATAATCCTTGCTCTTTTGTAAGAAATATTTCCATTTTCAGACAGTTTCAGAATACCTCTGTGTATTCTCTTGTTTGGCAGGAAACCAGGTGTTTCATATTGCATCAGCGATCCTAAACGATCAGCTACACAAATCAGCTCTTGTACCTCAGGCTTATAACTCTCAAAATTCTGATGTAACACGTCTCTGGAAGAAACATTATGTACATGATAAGGACTTTTACAACAGACATCTTGTTATCCAACTTCACCTGAAAAGTGGTCACTTCCTCCACTGGAAAATGAATCAAGACACCTATGACTACATAATCCTTACTTCAGTGCCTAGCACACAACCATAAACAAATTAAAAGAAGGAATCATTACGCGAACGTGTACACAATTACTATTACATGCTTGTTAATAACACTGACAGCTAATTGGCAATTCAGAAGGCACCTCTGAATTACTTGCTTTGTAAACTCCAGAATACATAACCTACATGGACTGCCTTTTTCAACAAGCAGCCATTCCCTACACCAGCCCCAAGTTGTGTTACACCAGGTATACCTGAAATGGTATATGTAACTACTATTGTTTAGCTGCCAACCTGCTAGAAGTTTTCATAACAAAGATTGTAATTCTAAGTTATAGGTTGTGTTGAGGTCCCCAAGGCCACCCTCAGGTTCAATGATTCTCTAGGAGGCCTCATAGGACTCAATGTATAGTTGTACTCATGACTGTGACTTATTACAGCAAAGGACACAAGCACAATTATCAAAGAGAAAAGGCTCATGGTGCAAAGTCTAGAGGAAACCAGGTGCAAGCTTCCAAGACTCTCGGGAGAGGAACAGGATTAATTCCCCTCCATGAGACGCTGCTAATCAGGGAAGCTCAGTAGACACTCAGTGCCCAGGGATTTTCCTGGGGGCTGCCTCTGCCCAGCAAGTACCCAAATTCCAGACACCCAGAAGGAAAGTAGGTGTTTAGCATAAACCATATTGTTTCTATGAACAGCTCAGGCACAGTGAAGCACTCTTAGCAGTTCTGGGCCTAGTGAGACATTCCCCAAATCCAAATTCCCAGGTGCCAGCCAAGGGCCAACCTTGTAAGCAGACCTTTCCAAGGACAGGAGTTCAGGCCTGCCATGTTAACTCTTTCCCGCACATTGGTATTTCTCTAAAAAGCAGTGGTAAAGAAGATAGATAACCTCTTTGAGCAATCTATTTTCTTTTTACTATTTTCGATTATGTAATAATTGATACATACAAAAGCATACAACCTCATTACCCAATTTAAGAACTAGAACAATTCTGTAGCTCTATCTACTTGTATGCTGCCTTTCTATCCTATCCTCCTGCCTCCCAGCAAGAGGTAACTCATCTTGAATTTTGTGTTCATGATGCCCTTATCTTTTGATTTTAAAAAATAGGTTACATATGTATGTCCCTAAACAATATATTCTATAGTTTTGCTTATGAGCTTTATGGGAAAAATGATGTGACATTGCCGTCTACTGACTTGCTGTTTTTACTCAACATTTTAAGATTAATCCATACTGTTGCATGGGGCATTTGTTTATACTGCTCCATAATATCCCATGGTGTGACAGCATCACATTTATCGATTCTTCTGTTCATGGACATTTGGGATGATTTCCAGTTTTACACTGTGAACAAATACTGTTATCAACAGTCTTGTGCAGGTCTCCTGGGAGATATTTGCACAAGTACAAGGTTCTGTAGTGAATATATATAACAGAATCACAAGATTGTAGGATATGCAGATGTTCAGTTTTACAAGATAATGACAAACTGCTGGCCAAAGTGGTTGTTGCAATTTATATTCTCACTATGAGTATATAAAATTTTCCCTTGATTCTCCTTCTGGTCAATATTACTATTATCAGACTTTATATTTGTTCCTCTAGTGGGTGAAACATCTCATGCGGTCTTATGAACTGAAGCATCTTTTCATATATTTACTTGCCATTCATGTTTTCTGCTTGGTGAAATTACCTGTTCATGTCTTTTGAACACTTTTATACTGGCTGTTTGATGTTTACTTTTTTTTTTTTTTTTTGGTGAGGAAGATTGGCCCTGAGCTAACATCTGTTGCCAATCTTCCTTTTTGCTGAGGAAGATTGTCTCTGAGCTAAAATCTGTGCCCATCTTCCTCTATTTTGTACGTGGGATGCTGTCACAGCATGGCCTGATGAGCGATGCATAAGTCTGTGCCCGGAATTCGAACCTGCGAACCCTGGGCTGCCAAAGCGGAGCATGGGAACCTAACCACTATGCCACCAGGCTGGCCCCAACTTTTACTTTTCAATCTGTGGAAATTTTTAATAAATTCTGGATACCAATTCTTTGTCAGTTTATAGGTGGCAAATACTTTTTCTGTTTGGGCTTATCTTTTCACTCTTTATGGTGTCTTTTGTTGAACAGAACTTCTTAGGATGTTTTGTGTGTCTTGATTGAGATATCCTTCTCTACCTCAAAATCATAAAAGTTTTCACTTATATTTTCTCCTAAAATTAAAAAAAATTTTACCATTCTAAGATTTTCATCCATCTGGAACTGGATCTTTAGCTACACTATCACAAAAATCAATTTATTTTATCCATATGACAACCTAGTTGTCCAACCCTGATCTACAATACACCCTTTGTGCTCCTTTGGTCTACCTGTCTAACCCTGCACCAATACCACTCTGTCTTCATTACTATCTAAAGTCTTGCTGTCTGGTAGGATGAGAACCTTCTCCTTTAAACCTGGGCATCATCTTCTTCAGGAGAATCTTGATTATTCGTGCTCCTTTGTTCTTCCATACAATTTATAGAATTAGCTCATCAAGTTACTCAAAAAACTGTTGGGATTTTGAAAGACATTTTATTGAATCTACAATTAATTTGCAGAGAACTGACCAAATGATGTTATTGAACTTCCTATTCATGAACACAGTATTTCTCTCCATTTATTTGTTTTCTCTTAGTAACTTTCAATAAAGGTTTATAATGATCTCCATACAGGTTTTGCACATCTTTTGTAAGATATATTCCTAAGTACTTTTGCTATTATAAACGGTATTTTGTTTGTTGCTGGCATATAAAAATGCAAATGATGCTTTACATTAATTATAATCAACCACCTTGTTAAACTCTTATTTTGTATAATTTGTTTGTAGATCATCTGGGCTGTTTTTTTTTTTAATCATGTGATCTTCAAATAATGACAGTTTTCTGTCTTCCTTTCTAATCCATATAACTTTGATTTCTTTTTCTTCTCTTTATGCATTGTCTAGGATCTCTAGTTCACTGCTGAAGAGAAGCAATGATTTTAGGCTTTTTTTGTCTCACTCTTAATTTTAACATGAATGTATCTAACATTTCATTAGTTAAAATGATGGTTGCTTTAGCTTTCTGATAGTTACCATTTATCAGGCTAAGGAAATACCTGTTTTTCTAGTCTGCTAAGAGTTTTTATCTTTTATAAAGTATAAATGGTTGTTTAATTTTTTCCAGTTGTTTTTCTGTATCTACTGACATAATTATGTGGTTTTTCTCCTTTAATCTATTAACTGGCAATCACATTTATACATTTTCTAAAGTTAGATCACCTTTTTTTTTTGGTGAGGAAGATTAGCCCTGAGCTAACATCCGTTGCCAATCCTCCTCTTTTTGCTGAGGAAGATTGGCCCTGGGCTAACATCTGTGCCCATCTTCCTCTACTTTATATAGGACACTGCCACCGCATGGCTTGACAAGCAGTGCATTGGTCTGCGCCTGGGATCTGAACCTGTGAACCACCAGCCGCCAAAGTGAAGTACGTGAACTTAACCGCTACACCACTGGGCTGGCCCCAGGATCACATTTTTATTCCCAGGAAAAATCCGTTTTGATATGATGTTATCCTTCTTGCATAAAAATGAGTTCAGTTTACCAATATTTTGTTTAGGATTCTTACTTCCACACTTATGAATGAGAATGGCCTCTAGTTTTCCTTTTGTGTACAATCCTTGTCTAGTTTTGGTATCATTGTTATATTGGCCTCACAAAATGACTTGGGAATATTACCTCCTATTCTCTTAAAAGTTTGACAGGGCACTCCTGTAACACCATTTGGGCTTGATAATTTTGGTGTGTGTGTGTGTGGTATATGTGTGTGATTGTAAGAATATTTTAAAATACCAATTCAATATCCTTAATAATTATAGAACTATTTAGGCTTTTTATTTCTTCTCAACTCAGCTTGATTAATTCTGATTTTCTAGGAATTAGTCCATTTATTCTTTGGGTTTAAATTTATTTGCATACAAGTTTTCATGGCATTCTCTTCTCAGCATTTTAATATTTGCTGATCTGTGGTTATATCTCTTTTAATCATTTCTAATTGTTTGAGTTTTTTAGTATTTTTCATTAAAAAAATCAATCTCAGAAATTTCTGTTAGTAAAAAAAGACAAAATTTTGACTCTGATGAACCTCTCTGTTGTCTATTTAGTTTTCATTAATTTCTCTTTATTTTTCCTTCTTTCTGCTTTCTTTATTGTTTTTCCTACTCCTTAATTTTTATACTTATTACCTTACTTTTTTTATAGTATAATATTTAAGGATATTAATGTTTTCACAAAATTGTTTTCTTTGCATTCCACAAGTGTTGGTATGTGGTATTTTCATTTTTGCTCACTTTTAAAGTATATTCAAATTTCCATTATGATTTTATCTTTAATCCATATTCCAATGTGTGCTTTTTAACTTCCAAATAATGGAGATTTTCTTCTTATATATATTTTAAATCATACTGTGGTCAGATATGATACTAATTATTTGAAATGTAGTGAAATATGCATAGTAAGTGATCAATCTTTGTAAATGATCTAAGTATACTTGAAAAGAATAGATATTCTTTAATTGAGTACACAGCTCTATAGACTAATAAGTCAAGTTTGTTAACTGTGTTGTTCAAATAGTCTAAATTTTTACTAGTATTAGATTTAGTTTTTCAAAAATTAGAATTTCTCATTATGATACTTAATTTGCTAATGTCTCTATGTATTTCTAGCAATTTTTGAAGTTATCTTATTAGGCGTATGTAAGTTTGGATTTATGTCTTCCTGGTGATTTGAACCCCTGACATTATGTAGTAATAATCTTCACTCCTAGTAATGTTTTATTACTTGAAATCCATTAATATTAATATAGCTACACCAGGATTCTTTCAGTTAGTGCTTCTCTAGTATAACTTTTCCCATTTCCTTACTTTCAATCTTTCTGTGTCCTTATGCATTAGGTGCCTCCTGTAAAAAACACATAATTGGATTTCTTAAAAAATTCCAATCCAACTATGTCTAACTGACGTTTAGTCCATTTATATTTATTGTGATTATTGATATATCTGGATTTGTTTCAACCTATTCTTATTTTTTTCTTTCTGTTTGTCCCACTTTTTAATGCCTCTTCCCCTTCCCCCCATCTCTGATTGATTTTGGATTTAATTTTTTATTTTTTCTATTTTTTACTTCTCTACTAATATGAAAGTTGTATACTCTTTCTTTTAGTACTTACCATAGACATTTTAAATATTCATAATATAACTTAAAGTCTTAACATAATATTTAACCCACATTCTCTTAGAATACTTTAATTCTTATTATCCCTCAACTTACTTGCTATTTTTGCCATTTTATATCTGTCCTTTTTATGAGCCCCCAAATTAGATATTATTTTATTTAGACTTACCAATTTACCATTCTTACCAATTTTTTTCCCCTCATTACTCCTTCTTGTATCTTAAATCTCGCTCCTAGTGTCAATTGCCTTCTTCCTTAATTACATGCTTTAGAAGTTCCTTTAGTGAATGCCAACTGGTGGTTAATTCAGTTTTTGATTACCTGAATATATATTTATTTGGTCTTTATTTTTAAAAGATAGTTTTGCTGGGTATAGAATTCTAGGTTGAAAGTTGTCTTCTTTCAGCACTTTGAAGATATTATTCCATTATCGTCTAGCTGCCATTGTTGATGTTGAGAGGTTTAAGTTAGTCCAATTATTGACCCTAAGTAGGTGATATGATTTTTCTATTTTTTCTATTTCTTTCTATTTTTCTTTTTCCTTATCATAGGTGTTCTCTAGTTACCTACAATGTGTCTTGATACGGATTTCTTTTCATTAATCTTGCTTTTTAAAAAAATTTGTGGATTTATGTGTTTCATTAGTTCTAGCAAATTCTGTACTTCTTCAAAAATTGCCTTTCCTCCATTCTCTCTTGATATTTCAATCAGACATATGCTACAACTTCTTACATTTTTTGCATCTTCTATCTCTCTTTCATGTTTTCTAACTCTTTGATTCTCTGTGCTACACTCTGGATAATTTCTAATGCTCTATCTTCCAATTTTGCAATTTTCTCTCAGCTATGTCTAATCTGCTGTTTAGCTGATATACTGAATCCTTCATTTCATTGATTATATTTTCTATTCCTAAAGCTTCCAATTATTTTCTTTAATCTACCTAATCATTTTTGATAATCTGTTTCTTGCTCATATTTGTGATTACTTCATAATTTCTTCAAACATTTCATTTGGAGTTATTTTAGAGTCTATATTCAACAATTCCAATATCTGAAGTCCTTGAGGGTTTAAGTCTATTGTTTGTTGTTTCTGTTGATTCTCACATATGGTTTTGGTGATCTTGGTTTTTGATTCTCACACTAATGATCTTAATCTGTGGGAATACTTGGGGCCCAAATTGGCACTAATTTCTTCCCAGGAAGGATCTGTATTTGCTTCTGTTGAGATCTTGGGAATGCCTCCAATATGGCATCACTTTAGCCCTTTAAAGTTGAGCAAACCCGTCTTGCTTACACCTCAAGGAATTCCATTGCAGTAGTTGTTAAATGCACTTATCCTCAAGACATTTTCTTCCTTTTAAATGTGCTTACCATTCACCACTCTAGTTTGAATCCCCCCACTACCTTTTCTTTCTTTTTAGAAAGTCAGGGGGTTGATCTTTACAGCATTGCTAGCCTCCCAGCAATTAATTTCTATTCTTGAGCTTATTGTTTTGTAACGGGATAACCCTTTAGCATATCCATTTTGCCATACTGCAACAGTAGTTGGCCAGCAGTATAATTTCAAACTTTCAATATGTTAAGTAATTCGTTTTAAAAGTAACATGGTAAAAGAATAATGCATGTCAAAGACTGCCAATAGTATAAGTACATTTGAAGTCTGAGGTTGCCCACAATGAGCAGGGAAAGTCAGGCTAGAAGGAAAGATGAAAGTTTCAAGGAACTCTATAAACTAAAAGAAATATTTGCAGACATATCAAATCCAAAAATAAATTCATCAGAAATACAGATAGAAAGCCATTTATTGATCAAGAGATATCATGATGAAATTATAGCTCAGTCTTAAAAAAGAAAAAAAAATCTTTATTTAAAGCACTTACTTTATGTGGGGTTGCAACCCTGGCTGCTCTTCATAATCTTCTATGAGGAAAGGCAGATTTTTAGCCCAGTGGTCTTTAAAGCTTCCAGGCAGATCCACATCAATGTTATATTCCGCAAGAGGAGTATCAAGGTGTGCATGAAGATACCGAGAATACTCTGCAGACAAGAAATGGGATCTGACATGCCCAAATACTGCTAAAGAAACATTTTTTATGGCTAACTGCCATAAAAATACTTTGTAACAAACTATTATTTAATTACAAGAATTCTAAATGGAGACTCCAAATTTTAGTAAGTCACTATTATTACATGATAATGAGGGTAACCTGCCACTGACTTGAGTTACCAAGGTCAAATACAACCTAGTCAATCTGGGTCTACTTTGGTTAAATTTTAATCACCTTTCCATGAACAATAACAAATATCTCACTTTTCAATTCCAGAATTCAAGTTCAGTGTTAGATAGAGTTCTCTGTGAACTGAAAGATCTACTGACTATGTACACGACTTCATCAACTGAATGACCAACTGCTGCTTATCTCTATGGAAAAAAACAGGACATGGAGCGCTCCTTCCTTCAGTCTATAGTTCCCAAGTCCAAGTTCTTTAAACCAGGAAAAAAGAGGGAACTGTAATTTAGAGTTAAGTGCTGTGCTATCCAATAGGTAGCTCGCAGTCACTCGGCTATGAAGCACTTAAAATGTAGCTAGTGTGACTTAGAAACTAAATCTTAAATTTTATTTAATTTAAGCTTAAAAACTGATATTTGACTCAATTATTAGAAAACTTTGGTATGCTTGGAAAACTTGCATATATGAATCTGTTTTTTCAACTATAAATTTGATGAAATCTAAATTCAAATCAAGTGAATCCAATGAAAATTTAACATTCAAATCGAGATATATTATAACATACACACCAGATTTTGAAGATGTAGTACAAAAAATAACGTAAAATATCTCATGGTGTTTTCATACTAATTATATGTTGCATTAATATTATGGATACAATGAATTCAATAAAATGTATTATTAAAATTAATTTCACCTGTTTGTTTTTACTTTTTTAATGTGGCTACTAGAAATTTAAAATTACCTACATGGCTTGCAATTTTTTTCAGTTGGACAGTACTAGTATAGAGGGCTAATAACAAAGGAAAGAGAAGAAATGGAAGTAAAGATTTGGGCTTTATACGAAAAACAGAAATATCTTTATGTGTGGCAGAGAAAAGGTGAGTAAGACTAGAACTAATAAAAGGATAACTCAAAGATTTGCTTTCATCCTTATCCCAATTTAATTTCTCCAAAACATGTGAGAATTCTGATATAAAGGAATGATGGATTGAAGAAACCAAATTTACATTTAACAGTAAAAACCTCATAAAAGGTTACTTTCCTGTCATTCCTATATCTTTAGATGAGATGTGAAGAGACAAGAATACCCAGATAATTGTCACATTTAGTTCAAATATGTTTTTTTGACCGAAGTAAAATTTTTTTTAACTTTAGGAACAAAAACATGTAGGAAATGACAGAAAAAGCACTGGACTGGCCTTTAGAAGACATGGATTCTATCTAGTCCAGATACTGCCACTAAACAAGGGATGGCTGTGGACAAGTTACCTCACTTCTCTGAGACTCAATTGTCTCATATGGAACATAAGAGAGACAAGCACTATGATTTCCACAGCTTCAAGCATTAAAATTCAATGAATCTGCAATTTTCTGACTTACCTCGGAGATATTTCACTTTAAGATACTCTGGGCTGGCCTTCTGGCCTGGAAGAGGATCATTTAGCATAACTTTAGTCTGTGCTTTTATCCCTTCATAAAACTGTCCCATTGCAACATGGCTGAGTCCTTTCATGTACTGGCACACCTCATTATATGGCTCTAGCTGCAGACACCGCTGAGGCATTGAAGGAGAAAATGCTGTGTTAGTATCCATACAGTTTAAGAAAACTTTCGAGTGCTTCATTCTTTAATCAGAAATTAGAAAAGTTTTCCCTCCAGGTTAAATCAGACCAAATACATACCCTGTAAATTAGTCTATGGGACAAGGCAACAGTTTTTCTCTTTCTTTCTGTTGAGGTATAAACACTATTCTGGGCCATCCTCCATTCATTTCACTAAACTCCGTTGAAGAATAATCCAAGAACTCAAGTTACAGTGCTTCTAATTCACAGATGCTCACCTTGAAATTCTTAAGGGCTTCCTGAAGGCTGCCATGGTGATAAAGCATCATTCCCCGGAGCTGGAGGGTCTGGACGTGATTTTGGTTGAGCAGCAGGGCCTTCTGAAAGCTCTCAGTGGCTGCTTCAAAATTGCCCAGTTCTCTAGATATTTAACAATAGTTATGAGCACAGTACAGACATTTCAGTAAACATACAGAATAAGTTATCAGCAGAATTATGGTCCAATACACAAATAAGATACCCTGATGTGGGCATTCCCTTTTTTACTTTACCACTTTATAGCTACATAGCCTTTGACACATCACATCCCATTTACTTTTTCTAAACCTTACCGGACTACAGGATAACCACAGAGCTCTGGAAATTCTTTGGGGAAAATTAATTTATTGATTTCCAAAGGCAAATACTTACTCAAATCCCTTTCCCCAAATCATGATGAGCTTTAACCCCTAAATATATGTGTCTAAGTTTTAGTATTTGGACAGAAACATACATTTCTTCGTTGGAATAAAGTATGTAGGTTATAATCATACGGAGGTTTATCATCCTGAATCAAATTCATAGGCTTAAAATTGTATTTTTTTCTGTGACTGAAGTTCACGTCACTTAAAATCTAGTAAATCACTATGTAATTTAAAATTCTGGAAAAAAGAAGTGTATTTTAGAGTTGTGACCATTTCAGAGTGGAAATGGTTATTACTGACCAGCCTTTTTTAATATATTAAAATGTTTACAAATAAAAGAAGTAGTATCTTCAAAATATTCCATGCATGAATTTTCTATTAATAAAGAATATTTTTTAAAAATATAACACCTGCTTACATTTATACAGCAATTTACTAGGTACTTTCAAATCTGTTTTCAATTTATATTCCCAACAATTCTGTGGAACAGGAAGGATAAATATCATCCCTTAAACCCAAAACAAATCCAAACACACTTTCTTCAAGTTAGTATAAGAAATCTTCCTCAATTATTGTATCAAATAAATAAGCTCCTGAATTTAATCCTTCCCAAACAAGGTACCTAACAGCGTTTTGAAGGGAATTTCTGTTATTGGCTTTCTTTTCTAATTTTATAGTACCTTTATAAGTGAGAACTCTGAAGCTCAGAGGAGTTAAGGACACACAACTTCCGAATGGGCAATCCTGAACTAGATCTATACCACTTGACTCCTAAATCAGGAGCCCCTTCTATTATGCCATGCCATCTCCTTTTCAGGTCAGAGTATAAAATTTTTTTTAAAGCCAAAAGTTAGAATAGCTCTACTGGCCAGGCCAATGCAAGCAGTCAAGAAGCCAGAGTCTAGGCACAACTTCTCATTCCTGATAGAGATGTATCATAATTCTGACTTTTCCATTCCTTTATTCTAGGAATCTTCAAACAGACCATAGTGATGTGGGAATTAACCTTAGTCATTGCCTAAAAAAGCAGCAGCATCTATATGCCACTATTCAAAACAATCACCCTTAAAGGACTAACATTTTCTAGACCAATACATACAAACTGAAGTTGTTTTAAGAGATAATATGCATCATGATATCCTCTGACACAGGTTCCTTCTAGATTCCAGAGAAGATCTCAACAAGTATGTAAATGCCTATGTGGTTTAGAAAGACCAATTGGTTAAGAAATGCAATTTCTTTTTAAACATCACAATTATGTGAGGCTATCTTGTCTCCCTACTCTATACTCTCCCTCCTACCCCAACTATTACTACTTTACTTACCTATAGGCCTGTCCTAGACTTTTATATGCATCAATAAAATCAACTTTCTGCTTCAAAGCTTCTTTGAAGGATTCAATAGCTTCCTGTAAAAAGTATAGAGAAAATTATTTCATTTGTACAACTGTTAAAATTGAGTTTCACTTAAATCACTAAAGGACTTATATATTATACATGGTCTCTGAGTGATTTTTTTTTTCAATAGGAGGACTTAAAAAAAAGAGAGGTATAAAGTACAACAAACTACGAGTCAGGAGGACTTAATTTCAATAGTAAACAAATGCATTACTATGAATCATAACAGAGCCTTAAGTTTCTCCCTTTCAAAATGGGAAAACAGCTTCTCACTATCTATTTCATTAGGACTTTGAGTACTGGTGATATCACCTTCATAGTAATATAATTTTCTTAATTAATAAAGGCCTTGTGGAACAACAATAAACCTAATAGCTGTGTGAAATAATTCAAAATGATCACAACCAGTAGCATTTAAAATTGAACCAACAAAAGAAATAAAAAAGCAAGCCCATCTTGAAACTGTTTATTAAAATAAGCAAAAAGGCTCCTAGATTGGCTATCTGAAGGATTCCCATGATCTACAAGGAAAAAGAAACAATAAAACAGAAACCTTAAAGCTGGGGGCATTTGGGGCATGGCTTCCGCCAGCACAACTCCAGGTGTGCAGCTAAGGGAGTGAGAAGGCTGCCCGGGCACCGTGCTTTAGGGAGGGGCCCTTAGGACACAAATAGTGACTTGGCTGCTGTGGAACTCTCTGTGAAAACTGTTAAGAAAATGTGCCATTCTGTTTCAGAATCAACATCCTGGGCTGAAACCAGTATTGAATGTACTTTACATTATGACTTGATTATTTACTGTAATAAAAAATTATGAAGACATTTCACACATTTCCCAAGGAAAAGACATATCTTACTTAACAGCTACAAAGTATCATGATCTCTAATAGCTTTAATGAGAAACACTTTAAAACTTCTGTGATAGATCACTTCACACCTAATTAGATAATTCATGGCAGAAAACTACTAAAGATATCCTATGCCTTGCACATGGTAGGCACTCAATAAATATTTAATGTTTTGGTAGGTACACAAAATAGTTTTGCAAAAGCAACAGAATCCTAATTCTTTTCAAAAATTCATTCATTCCCTGCTTCTTGATTTTCCTGGGGGAGAGGCAGCAGGGCAAGAGAGGCTGGCTTTCAAACTCCTCAAAGGTGCCAACAGGGACAACTTGCTTATTAAGGAATCTAGCTGAATATCTACTGTTTGGTAGAAAGATGAGAACGCATAAATTTTAACATTTAAGAAATGTTAAAGACTGCTCTTAATCAGGCTTCCTGCTGTGCACAGTCTTGATCTTTTAGGATTTTTACAACTGTATTTTTAATTCCACAAATATGTATTGAGCACCTACTATGTGCCGGGGCAGTGTGAGGTACAGGGGACACAAAGACGAGCAAGTCATTATCTCTGTCCTCTAAGAACTCAGTCTAGTTAGAAAGCCAACTGTTTAACCAGGTCATTAGAATATAAACTAAGAGCTACAATAGAGGTATGAGTAAAAGTCTCTGGGAACAAAGAGAAAGAAACAACTCACTGAGCCTGGGGATACCAGAACAGGCTCACAGAGGAGGTGACAACTGAGCTAGGTCTTGGAGAATGAGAAGGAATTTGATAAAGAAAGAGGGCATCTTGGACAGTGGCACAGAGTGCTCGGAATTGGTGGGAAATGTGGAGGAGCAGGAGTGCAGGGTGCACAGGTGGGAGTGGGGGACAGGGAAAAGATGGGGGACCAGGCTAGTGTGGTAAGCTGGGGCCAGAGAGGGAAGGTTCTCTGCCATGCTCTGCAGTCTGGGCGTTACCCTGCAAGCAATGAGGACCCGGGGGCTCTAAGGAGGTACGCCACCTCACAAAATTTACTTTTTTTTTTTTTTTGTGAGGAAGATCAGCCCTGAGCTAACAACCATGCCAATCCTCCTCTATTTTGCTGAGGGAGACTGGCCTTGAGCTAACATCCGGGCCGATCCTCCTCCATTTTTTTTTTTATGTGGGACACCGCCACAGCATGGCCTGACACGCAGTGCGTCGGTGCGCTTGGGATCCGAACCCGGGCCGCCAGCAGCGCAGTGTGCGCACTTAACAGCTAAGCCACGGGCCGGTCCCAAAATTTACTCTTTAGAGATGATTACCACCAGCAACAACAGAGAAGACAGACTGGAGACGGGAGAGAATGGAGCCCAATTAGGAGGTGGCTGCAGTAGTCCAGGCAAGAGATAATGAAAGCTCAAACTGAGACAGTGTCTCTGAGGAGAGAAAAGAAGGGTCAAATTCAGGAGACATTTTTAACGGCAAACTAAGACAGAACTTGGTGGCTTTTGGGTATGGGGGATGAGGGAGAAGAGAGGGTAGGAAGCTTCTAAGCTGAAGAGCCTGGGTGGAGGGCTAGAGCGTTAACTAACATAAGGAAGTACAGTACGAAGGACAGCTGCAGGGCAGGGGGTGGGGGTGGGAGGAGGTCATGAGTCCAGTTGGGGCGTGTTAAGTCTGGAGTGTTTGTGGACGTCTAGCGGAGATGCCCAGGAGACATCTGCTGCCCACTGCACTTACAGCATGCTTGGACGCCACAGTTCTTCAAAGTCTGATTTCTCTTCAGCTTTTAAGAGTCTTTGGTTTCGGGGTTCCTGTCTAATCACTGCACAGCTCTCTACCTCATTCTGCCAAAGAGGGGACATAGCAGAATCAAGATTTTAAGCCATTGGGAACAAAGAAACTATGTTCGAATGAATCAATCTCTAAGCATATAAACTGGCTCTGAATTCATCTGCATAGCGAATGCAATCACCACCACTTTAAGTCGCCATCTTCCCTACTAGTCGGTGGGCAGCCATCACTCTGAGGCTGTTACAACTAAGAGAACAATCTCAGGTAACTCTCAATGTAAATGCTGATAAAAATATGTGCTTGGAATACACCATTTTTGAACTATCCTTACAATATAGACATAACAGAATTCAACAGAAAAGCTTTTGCTGTTTTTTCCCTAGGAAAATCCCAAACGTTTGATATATCTACCAAACTGACAGTTGTGAAATTTGTCATGTAATATTGCCTAATGTATTTCTAATGTATTACATCATAAAGCAAATAAGCAATTACCCTACTTAATTTCTAAATTGTTGTGGACCACCTTTAGGATGCAATGATAGTTTAAACTCATTGGTCCATTTAATACTTTGTCTCTATAGTTAACAAGAGAAATAGAGATATCTAAATTCAGTTCATTAATTTAATTAAGGCATTTCACCACTGACTCAGTTTTCCAATCTATGTAACTGGGACACCCTCTGCTCCTTCTATACTTCATAGGGATGCCGGTGGGATGAATGAGAGAATATGTAAACACTCTGACCTCCTTGGACAGCAGATCTATAAAAATGCAAAGAAAAAGTTCCCATCTATTATACACCTTGATGCTGTGTTTATGAGCATGGTGAAAAGGAGAAAGGACCAAATAATTTGGTAAGATTGGTTCACTGAGGGGCATCTAATGCTCAGAGAATGAAGACACTGTTTCTAGATTCTCATCACGTAGATTGGGAATAAACCAAACTGAATTTTAGTCCTTGTCCAATTTGTAGTGTCTCTGTTAAAGCTCTTTTCTGAAAAATTTGCATTCCGAAATAACACAAAGAGTCCTGCCCACATTCCTAAACCTGGCTTATAATTAAAAATGAAATCATTTGTTTGCATTTGTTTACTTTAAAAAATATTTTTAACCTCTTAATACTAATAGCTGGTATTCTTTGTATTTCAGATCTTTTTCTCCTCTATGAGATATTCAAGGGATAGACTTGACTATAGTGTTGTGATTTTGAATGTTTTTATTTAAGGTGACTGAGAGAAGATGAGAGGATTAGAGGGCAGATGCAGACACAAAATAGACTGGAAAAGCCCATCTGGCAGCTGCTCAAAACACATTTTAAATAACTGCTCTCAAAGCCTACAGCTGCCCGTCTCAATCCTGAGGGAAGAGAGAAAGCGTCCTTGTTAGGACGACCCTTCACAAACTTGCAAAAAGGATATGAGGTATATGAGATAAAATTTGCAAACTTCTTTTTGATCTGGTGTTTAGTGGATGGGAGTTATTTTTTTTTTGAGTCTATGAAACAGATTAAATTAAATTTTCACAAGTAAAATAATCCGTAATAATTAATACCTGATTCATATTCACAGCTTGTAAAGTACTTTTCACACACATTATTTTATTTAATCCTCAGTCACTTCAAGAGGCAGAGTAGAATCATCTCTACTTGACAGATGTGGAAGGAGAGGCTGAAAGAGTTTAAGTAACTTGTCCAGTGGTACAGTTAATAAGATTCAGAGCGAGAGCTCAAACCAAGGCCTTCCAACTCCAAATTCAATGCTCTGTCCCTGAAATTCATTTATTCTGCTAATATTTACTGAGCACCTACTGTGTGACAGGCACTGTCTGTAACACTGAGGATTTACATCATGCAGTCTTTTTACAGGCAAATCCCTCCCCACCCTCCAAGTGTGTGTGTGTGTGTGTGTGTGTGTGTGTGTGTGTGTGTGTGTGTGTGTGTGTGTGATCCTCAGAACTATTTTCAAAAGTAAAAGCATGTTCTTTCTGCCAGAGCACCGTTCCCTGCCACAGGCTATTGAAATTCTTCACAGCTTTCAAAGTTCAGGTTAAGTACAACCTTCTCTGTGAAGACTCGCTTGACTTCCTGGTCAGAATGAAGTGTTTTTCACCTACACAGGCCGACTATATTTGGCTCTTGGGCCAGCCTGTCTTCAGTCAGGCAGTTCTGATGTGTCCTGTACTAGAGCGCCTACTCTGTACCAGGCCTTGCGCACTGAGGAGGCCACAGTGAGAGACCCAGAGCTCCACTCTTAGCCGTGTTTCTGGTCCCTGGCTCCTGGCATAAGATAAGCCTGCTGCACAAGAGGTTCTCAACCCGTGCTCAGAGAATGTAGAATCAAGGGCAGGAGGAAGGGGCAAGCTGGAGGTGACATTTCTATCCCACACTTTGAGTCAGTCTAGACAACGCCTTTCCTGTTTCCCTCAACTCCTCCTCCCAACAGCAGTCTTCAAGGGACAGTAATCCAATCAATCACAGAGACGTCTCCCAACCGGCTCCTACAGCCTCCGGAGGAGCCCGGTTAAGTCTCTCCCGCTCTGACCTGGAACGCTACCAATGTCTCCTCGTCAATCTCTCTGTCCCTAACCTCCTCAGCCACTACCATGTCAGAATCCACTTCCCAAATGATAGATTTGATCTCAACTCTATATTTTCCCCCAAATTTAGATTTTACAGCTCCTCTGGGCCTACAAATTAGTCAAAATGCTTAGCGTAATACTCCAGACTTTTTAGGACTTCCCCTCATCCAACTTTCCAACCCCATTTCCTTTACACTCAAACCCAACTATTCGCTACTCCATGAACTGGCCGTATTTCCACATTTCTATGTCATCACTCATGCTTTCCTCTCTGCCTAAAGTGCCCTTCTTCCCCTACTTAATCCTACTGCGCCTTCAAGGTCCAGGACAAAGTCCACTTGTTCTCTGGAACTTTTTCTAACTCCACAGTTTAAATGAATCTTTCTTATCTCTGTTCTCAAAGCACTTTGTTTATGTTATTTTCTTTAGTCTATTTGCCATATGATAAATTGTATGTGGAAAAAACTTTGTAAACTTTACCCTTTATAAGAGTAAAGTATTATTTCTGACTCTTACTTTTACCCTCTCCCCTTCTGCACCTTCCTCCTAGTACCTACCAAATAGTAGGAGCTCAATAAATATGTTGATTCATATTTTCTAATATGAATATGTTGATACTATTTTCTAAAATAAACCAATTAGATAGACACTTGGGACATCATTTTGAAACAAGTCAAACTAAATTTCACTAAATTCTTCCCACCCACAAAAGAAAAGCAGAATCATTATACTGTACACATATTGCACAACAGTTTCACCTTCAAAAGTCCTCTGTGAAAGAAAGTTAAACCTTTGTATAGCATAGCTATAGGCTGGTTTTTGTTCAGTTCTAAGGACTGCTGAAAGTCTTCGTGGGCTGTTGCATAGTCCTACAAAAAGGAGAGTGGAAAAAATATAAAGTAGTATTCATTAGATATTTGGACATTTCCTACTTTTGATTGGTAGAGAAAAAAAATCCCAATTCATTCTGTGCTGTTTTTGGCTTAGTATTAGTTGAATGCTTATAGTGTTTGCTGAAATAGTTGATTTTCTTAGGAAACTGATGGGAAAAACTCACAAAGGTTTAATTTAAGCCCACTGTCTCAACTACAAAAAGAATATTATTTTGAATACTATTAAAATCATAATCTGTTAGAGAAACTTCACAAATCATTTTCTGGTGCCACAATTTTTTTATACTGAATACTTCTAAAATAATTATGCCATAGACCAACCTTAAAATGTGTTACGCTGAGATTTTTAAAATCTATTTCCTTTTGCAATAGAAAATTGCTAAAATTACTATAAACCCACAAAAATAACTATGGTAATCATAAATACCACTACAATGATAAAAGATAATCTTGTTAGATTTGGGTCACTTACAGAGAGAAGCTACAATCTGGGAAGCCATGCTATTTCAGCTTATGGTTCTTGGGTTGTGATACCCCCAAAAATGGATAACGTGCTCACCTGCTTCCCTGTGCTGATATTTGCAAGAAAGGTTGAAGCATAATCTATGAACCAAATTTCTCTTCTTCTGTTTCTCCCCCTCTCTCTTTCTCCTTTTCTCCTAGTCCAGAATTAGTTACTGCTGACAGCTCAAGCAAGAAAATGTGTTCTTGGTACTTAATATTTCCCCACTGGGTTCAATTTCAGCTAAAAAAAAAGCTTTTATAACTGTGTTGTATCACATATTATTATACAGCTCCAAACCCCAATCTATCAAAGAGCAGCTTTCTGAAGTAGAAGGAAAAATGAAATCTTTATCATCATGAAAGGAAATGTTTCAAGGCAGAGATAACTCACCTCTGATATGAAGTACAGGGTCCCCCGGTGTCTGTACAGCCGTGCTGAGGGCTGAAGTTGGATAGCTTTAGTGAGATCATTCACTGCTTCATTAATTCGTCCCAGAGGGGACAGAATCTATAAACCCAAAAATGTCATTAGGGAAGAAAAATTCCCATGATCAACCCTAAAACTGCCAATGCTTTTGACTTTTCAATTCCACTTCACCACACTCTACTCACAACATTAATCTCTCGGCAGACTAGAATACTTGACCCCACGTACTATGCACTGAGGTTCAAAGTCAACAAGCTGAGGGGCCACTAATCTTTGTCGAGCCAAGGGGAAGGCTCATAAACTATGACTGAAGCAATTCCCTTGTCATTGTTTCACATTCTGGGTTATAAGACATGTTGCTTTTCTTAAAATGTGACCATTTTTTTCTCAACCTATTATTTATTTTTCAAAACAAAATTTGGCATGTCAAAATTAATCTGAAAGGTAACTTTGAACCATTAAAATAGAGAAGCTGTTGGACACAGATTAGAGTCTTCCATGGTGTTTAGCTCTGTCCTCTGTGGTCATAAGTGCCGAATGACAGTTTCTAAGATTCCAGGTGTTCTGTAAGCCCTGTTGTGTTAACAACTCTCAACTCATCAGTCATGATCTGCAAAGTAGGAGAAAAGACATCTGCAAGCCTGTCTGGAAAGCTCCGTTGATCCCGCTGTCAGTTGTGTTCAGGCAACAATGGCAATACAGAAGACAGTTCAGAATGCAAAAGTACACCAAAAAGACGTAAAAAATCCAAAATGGGTATCAGTATTCATGCAATCAAGCACACGCATTTTATCCTTAAATTAGAGTTAATTTTGTTCTCATAATATAGGTCATTTCCAACAATTTTACTAACTGGCTTCCTATTCTGCAGGAACTTAAAACCAGCAAAAGAGAGAGGATTCAGGCAGGCACATAACCAGTGGCAAGAATCACAGCTCAGAAAGAGGAAAGAAATGGAATATATGCCTGAGAACTCAAAAAGCACAGTGGTCTGGGGTTACATTTTGGAAGGGAAAACATCCCTACTCAGTTTAATAACCCCTAGGTACATAACTGAATTATCACACACCAGCACAATAATCTATATGCATAATAAAGACCTGAGTAACTAAAAAAGGTTAAATTATATTCATTAAATATAGCCTATTTCTGAAAGTATGAAAGTGAAAGATTTCTCATAAAATAATTTCTGACATACATAAATGTTATGCTATAATTTAGCTGGAAAAATCACTATGTAGTGACATTATTGCCCAATAATGCCAGATAAAAGCAATATTACCACATATTTTTAAGATAATTGAAAATAACTTTTGATTACCAATATCATTTTTGAGTACACAATTAGCTTTTTATTAGATATACAAATTTTTTAAAGCTGCTAAATAAGTCTTCTTTCTGAGTATGCAATTAAATTCATGCTTTATCATAACATTTTAATATAACATCAGAGTTATGGAGGGAAAAAGCATCAGCACCCCCTCCCTAGAACAGATGATCACCAAATTAGCCACCTAATGCTCACACCAAATACCAACAAGATTCTCAGCAGTAATGAACAAATTACAATCACTTAACCCTTAGGGTTACAATCCAAAACAGACAAGAGACAATGAATTATATCATTAATTGAGAAAGAATTTTATTCAGAAAGCCAAATCCCCAATAAAACATAAAATTCACTTTAAGAAACTAAACTACAACTTAAGACACTATTAATTTTGAGAACAAAAACATCACAAATACATTTTTTAAATTACCAAAACATTCATGTTTCCTTTACTTGCTAAGTTTTCTCCTTCAAAAGAATGGGGAAAACAGTCATTTTTTTCCTTTAGTTAAACTATGAAATCCGACCAGGTCAGAGGATTAAAAGTCAAGTTTTATTCATACTGAATATATTAACATAAATTCTGAAGCATTTAACATGGCTAAATGTGCAGTAAATACAACATGAAATCTGGATAGTTTACTCTTATTTTGTGAAAATGGTAAAATGAACACATTTCACTTAAAAACATTAAAAGGAGTGCCTTTGCACATACTTCTTTCTCTGATCTGAACACCGTTCTCCACTTTGTCCCCCAAGACGTGGGATCTGATCGGCTCTAGCATCACCTCTTCAGCGAGGCCTCCGCAAACACTCCCAACATCCCTCCCTTTGCCGACTTCTCCCAGAACTCCGGCAGGCCATGCCCTTCTGTTCCTGAAGAAGCACCTCCTCTTAGTGTCTACTGTCACAAGTATTACCTGGTATTTTCACCACGTTATCTCCCTGTCTCCACCTCAAGTCAAAAGTTCCTTCAAGGTCTGGTTATAGTCACCCTTACCTGATCTATGTGTCTACGTAGATAGGCAAACCTCATATGAATTATGTATAAGCGTGCATGCGCACACACACATATAGACACACACACTTCTAAAGACTATAAATTTTATTTTGACCATATGTCATATTGTTTTGCTAAAGTACATCATATACACGGTAAACAACATGTGTGATATATTTTCAGTGAACATGGACAGTAGTAGTACACATCATAACCGTGTATTTTAATACTAAATATTACTATTAAATGTTAAATCAGAAGTATTACTTGGCCCATAGTTTTCTAGTAATTTCAACCATGTTAAAGGCATTAAGTATCTATGGAGGAAAACACAACAGGTATAAGGGAGGTTCAAAATTTACAAGTAATAAAATAATAGGAAAAAAATATCTGAGATTCAACTAATCCAACAATGACAGAGGGAAAAAGAAAACCACACTCACTTCTGCTCGCTGCTCAAATACCTCTGGACGATCTGGTTCCAAGGTAATTACTCGGCTCAGTTCGAACAGAGCAAGATCAGCATTCTTAATGTCCTTGAAAAGGTATTAGCTTAGTATGAGATATACTGTCACTCAAAACCAGGTTGAATAGATTTTCTGAAAAAATTAATAATTTAGTAATGATATAACTACTTATTTAGAAACAAATATGAACTTAGCTATGTACAAGACATTTGCCAAGTTACTGAAGTTATATTACAATTATTTAACTCACTCAAGTCTAGCTACCTATCAATAGCACCTTGGACCTGGCTACCTATCACAAATTCCACAGATGGTAGGATATTTTCTAAATTTAACCTATTTAATCACTGAATCAACGAATTTCAAGGGATGAATATGTGGACAGCAGCATGCGAAAAGATGCTGACCAGTGGTGATGTAGGAAACAGAAACGGGCTAAGTCAGTGTCAAATCACAACCACTAAGCCTATACACCTACACCTTAAGAAGTCCAGGTAAGTTCTCCTTAAACTTTGCACGTTACTTTTATATTAAAAATATATGCGCATGTTACTTTTACATTAAAAATGCATTAAAGATATAAGCAAATTTCATGTCAAGATATAAAATTAAAAGAGATGAGAATTAGGATGAAGCAGCTTATCTCTGACCCTTACTAGGGCAACTTCGGTCATTTACTGACGCTCTGAACGTAACACTGTTTCCTTCCTAAACACCTCTGTCATTCCCACATCTGAGTTTGTTCTCAGTCCTCTGTGTCTCAGAAGTATACAAATACTATATAAAATTTCTCCAACAGGCCAGCACCCTATTGGCAAAGATACAAAACTGACGTTTCTCCCTCAAAGCATAATTTCATTTGAATATTTTTAATTACAATAACACAATAGATATAATGTTCCTGATCGAAAATCTGGAGACGTGAATCTTAGACCACTTCACTCTTTATTATATAATCTCTAGAAAGTCTTTATTTTATACCACGGTGCCTTTGAGCAAAATATAATTATTATAACCTTTCTCCTGCATTCCTCAGAGAAATAAGGGGAAAAAGGCTAGAAAGATATACCTATCTGGGGAAAGTATAACATATGACAACAAATAAAAATAAATTTTACAAAAAACACTTTTTTTCTTCTATTTAACCATTAAAAATTGTGAAAGGAATTCAAACTCTAAGTCCTACTGACTACTGATGCTTAGTCTCCATTTTTTCTAATGAATATTTCTTGGGAATTCAGTCGAGGTTTCCTGCTTTTCTCAGTCTATGTCTAGTTCACCACAAAATAAAGTTTAGGCTGGCAGAGGCTGTTCTTTTGGAGTAGAAAGTATGGCAAAACTGACTTCAGAAGACCTGGGTAGAAATTCCCAATCCACCACTTCCTAGCCATTTGATCTTGAATATGTCCTCTATTGCCATTTTCTCATTTGTGAACTGGAATGACACCACTGCAAGTCCCATCAGAGCTCAATGAACAGTGAGTGGTTCTATCGGAACCCTGGTCCATGTCAGGTCATGTAGGCACTATGTCAAGCGTAGCTATTCCATACTCACATGTAGTCCCTTCTTTCCATAGGCTATCCCTCGGCCATAAATTGCACTAACCAGATCAGGCTCCTCCTAGTCAGACCAAAACAGAAACACGTCAAAAACTATAAACAAAAAAAAAAAAATCAGTTTCTGCTGAAAGCACGTTAATGCCATAAGAGAGAGCTCTACTTCTTTATGCTACCACGACTCATACGTCAATACGCAGGCCCCAACCAGAAAAGTCTGTATTGTTAAACTCATTTGAATGAGACAAGTAATAAGAGTTTTGCATTAAAAAAAAAAAAATAAAGAGAACCAATATTACTGAGCTCTGTGCTAGTTTCTTTCAAATAGTCATCTTATTTAAAATGTAATCCTCTCAACAACTGTATGATTGGCAGCATCAGCAATCATGTCTTACAAAGAAAATGGAGGCTCAGAGAAGTAAACAGATATGAGTAAAGGATTGGATAACGCCTCTTCCTAGTTTGTCTCCTTTCATATAGTCATGAAGTAATCTGAAAAGGAAAGAATCCCTCAGGGCCAGCACAATGAGGAACAACAAATGAGTCGGCTCCACAATCTGCTGGGGATTAATACAGTACTTTATACTGATGGGTCAGAATTAAAAACCAGACCCTTTCTGCAACCTGCTCCCAGATGGACTAGATGAAACACTTCTCAGGCCCAAGGACAGAGTGTCTGCTGCCCCTGCCTCAAGTCCCTCACATGGGTCAGTGGTATGAACTGTCCCCACTTGCTGAGTGAAATGCCTCTCATCTACCCTTAGCCTTCGCCATTTTTACCTCTTCTCTGAATCTTTCCCTATACATTTAAGAAAGAAGAGTAAACAGCCTCTGGCTATAAGGTCCTGCACGAAACTCTTGACACTGCTAAAGAATTTAAGAGAACTGTACCAGAGGAGGCACTTTATAGACTAATCTATTGTTCAGTTTCAAATTTAAGATAGGGTGTCTGCTAGTATTGCAAAAAAAACAAATCAACTTCAACGATAAGTAAATGGGAAAAAACAAAGGAGAAGATGCCATGCATTGGGCGGGGGGGAAGGCTACTTTAAATAGAATAAGGTACATCTCCATCAAGTGGCAAACTAGGGCATCATCGATCACAATCCATTCAGCAGACTGGCCTCATGGTGTACGGAGAATGGGAAAAATGAAAGTAAACAATTACAGATTTCTAGCTTCTCTTGGAAAATCAAAAGATCCAACAAAAATAGGCCTACATTTTGGCATTCTCAAATGACAAAAAAATAACCAGAGCTAAGTACCAGCTGCCTCTTTAGATGAGGGGTGTGTATTCAACAGTTTACTGTATTCGACAGTCTACCCCATATAGTTTTGGATTTGTGATTTATAACTTATACGTAACTGGCATGAAAGGCTGTCAATGCTATTTGCTAAATGGAAAAAAGTGCAAGTTACAGAACTACAGAGGAATGGTGGTTACTTATAAATAATTCTTACCGATAACTGGGTGGGTCAGTATGTGCACAGAAAAAAGCTCTCCAAAATACTAACAGTAATTTTCTCTGAGGAGTGGGATTACTAGATATGTTCCCATTCTACTTATACACTGCTATATTCCTTTTAATTCTTTAAAACAAACATGTATACATTTATAATCAGAAAAAAAGATGCTTTAAGTAATATGTATTATAGAAAATAATTGAAAATTTTATTATAAACAAAAAAATTTATTTAAATAAACAAACAAAATTTATTGTAAATTAAAGAAAATTTAGAAAATGAAGAAAACCACAAAAAGGAAAGTAAAGGGCACCTGTAATCCTGCCATCCAGAAATAACACTTTAAACATGTTAATATCCTTCCTGGCTTAAAGAAAGGCAGAGCAAGCAGTTTGGAGGGAGAAGGATACAGGTACAGGGGGAGAAGAGGAGAAGGAAAAACAGTTACTCATTGAGCGATTAAAATAAGATTGTCTTCATGTTTTTCTATAGCAATAATACCTGCCAGAAGATAGAACAGTCACCAGAACAGCCCCTTGGCCAGGCTGGGGCGGGGGCAGGGAGCCCACATAGCTCACCCCTATGATGACATTCTCCAAGAGGAAAACTTACTCTCAGATTTGTAACATCTCAAAATATACTATCCAAGAAGCTTTTCTCCTAAAACTGAGAAAAATTTTATATTAGATGACCAAGAGGTGAATCAGAAAAAGGCGTATTTAAATAAATAGTTATTCTACTGTTGTGACTGGCATCTCCATACATCCTGTGGTGAGGGCCAGCCACTCTGGGAGTCATCTTCATCTCCTCAACAAACACGTCTACTCGTGAAGTCCTGGCAGTTTCCCCTCCTGAATATATCTGCTGTCTCTCCCTCCCGACCACCAGCCCCTGCCCTATTTGAAGCCTTCCTCTCCCACTTAGGCTACTGCAATTGCCTTAACCATTTTCCTGCTGCTTCCGTGGTCTCTAGACCCACACTATGAGTTATCTATCTAACACTAAAGTCTGATCATGTCACTCCCCTGGCTGAAAGTATTCATTGGCTCCCCAACACCTGCAACAGGGACATTGAAGCATTTTTTTACTCTAACCCATAGTAAGAAATACATTCTACATTGTAACCCAGTACACACACACATATGTATATAACATACACACACACACACATATCAGTAACAAAAGTTTCACTAAGTCATACCTAGCCTTACTACACACAATATAATCTGATATTTCCTAGTCTAACATATTTCATTTTTTAAAAAGTACTAGTCTTGACTTGCCAATTAATTTCAGGCCCTGCTAAAGGGCAGCAACTCACAATTTGAAAACAATGAGGTAACACATAAATGCCTTTGTAGAAAATACTGATCATTTTCCTGCCTTACTGTCCAGCCTCATTTCTTTCCACTCCCCCACTCACAATTCATATCCTAGACATCAGCACTAATAGTTCCCTAAATACAACATGCTCTCCCAAGCTCAGTGCATTTGCAAATGCTATTCCATCTGCCTGAAAAACTCACCCATTGCCTCTGTGCCCAAGAAAGTCCTTCTATCCTTTAAGTCTCAGCTCAAACACTACCTCTTCTCTGACTCCTTCCAGACTCCCCTGCAAAATAAATATGCTCCTTCTCCTCTGTTCCTACTATATGTTATATGGACATTAGTCATTCATTCAACAAATATTTACTCAGGGCCAACTATTAGCCATATCTAGTTCCATGTGTTAGTAATACCGTAGTAAGCAAAAACCAACACAGAAGACAAAAGATTCTTGCCTTCTTGGAGCATAGCAGAAGAATCACAAATATAAATGTAAAGTTACATTTTCAGTAAGTGCTAGAGTAGCAAATGGTTCTTTTAGAAAATGCATAAAGACCTAGACAAGGTTAAGGATTCCCTAAGGAAGAGATACCTGGGCTGAGATCTGTAGGGGGTGGGGGAATCCCAGAGTGGCTGGTCCAGGCAGAGGGAGCAGACTGTACAAAGGCCCCGAGGGAAGCAGGGAACACGGCATCTGTTCGAAGATGAGGCTGGAGAGGTAGGAAGGGACCTTATTAAGGATTTTTATCTTAACCTAAAAGCAACAGCAAAGTATGTGTGTTTAAAGTGCACATGTATGGATAGTGTGCACGTGTGCAGAGGGTGTGAGGAGATGAGCCAGGAAACAACGGCCGCATCAGTCATCTGGCAGATGAGAGGGGCTTGGTCGTGGTTTGAACAGAGCCGGGTGAAGGAGATGGACACAGGAGATACTTAAGAGGTATATAAATAGAGGTGGTGATGAAGGAAGTAGCACACAGATGTGTGGAGCATGTGGACTCATGAAGCCCAGTGGAGGGGGTACTGTTCACTGAGCTGGGCAGCACTGGACTGTGACTAGGGATTCTTCTTCAGTTGTGGGCAGGGTACATGGAGGGATCAGGGGAGAGCATATAGTTGATATGGAACCTTTGAGTTGAAGATGCCTATCAGACATCCTAGTGGATATAATTCCATTAAAGTAATTCTCTTATTACAACATTATTTTGCATTTGCACATTTGTCACCCCACTGGAACACAATATCCTTGAGGGCATTTCTTTTCATGTTTAGATTTGTAGCACCTAGCACAGTGCCTGGCACATGATAAGTCTTCATACATGGCAGTTATTATTTAGCAACAAACAGTGGCCATATTATTAGGCAGCTAAGAAAATCTTAATGAGTATTAAAGGCTATCAGATCAAAGACAGCTCTGCCTGGCCTGTTCTTCTCATAGGGGAAGCAAGCAGGCTGACACGGCTAGAAATCATGGGGTGCAGCCGATGGAGGAAAAAGGCCAGAGCCAGGGTTCAGTAAGTCAAAGCTGTACAACACATGTGCGATGGGGAATGGCTTCTGGTGGGCCACCAGCTATCGCAGCTGTAATGTTTTTATAGCAATAAAAAATTTTACACCTTTAAAAAATAGCCATTCAGGGCCGGCCCCGTGGCTTAGCGGTTAAGTGTGCGCGCTCCGCTACGGGCAGCCCAGGTTCGGATGCCAGGCGTGCACCGACACACCGCTTCTCCGGCCATGCTGAGGCCGCGTCCCACATATAGCAACTAGAAGGATGTGCAACTATGACATACAACTATCTACTGGGGCTTTGGGGGGGGAAAAAAAAAAAGGAGGAGGATTGGCAATAGATGTTAGCTCAGAGCCGGTCTTCCTCAGCAAAAAGAGGAGGATTAGCACAGATGTTAGCTCAGGGTTGATCTTCCTCACAGAAAAAAAAAAGAAATGGCCATTCAAGGGTTTGTAACAGTCGAAATATCTGAACACTGACAACTTCCTGAAATCAGTCATCATTATTTTGACCCCTAGGATTTTACATGTGGCCCCCACTGGCAGAGTGCTGCAGCAGCCCCACATGCAGTCCTTCCTCTTCTCCCTGAATCACCCCCAGGGTCCCATCATGACCATAGCAGGGACCTACTTTCAGTACTGCCACTGCCAATGACAGATAAAATAATAAAGCTGTATCAATCAAAGAAGGAATAAAATCTATTATTCAATTTAGGAACCCTTAATACTAGACTATAACTATGATAACAACAGAATATATATCCTTCTATGCTGTTGAAAAAAAATTCTAAAAAGTGAGTAAATTGAATGGAGAAAACCTAAATACTTTACAGATGCACACAATATTTAGGTTTTCTCTACTCAATTTACATTTTTTTAAGAATTTTTTTCCAACAGCACAGAAAGATACATAATTACAGTCATGCATCACTTAACGACCAGATACATTCTGAGAAATGTGTTGTTAGGCAGTTGTGTCGTTGTGTGAACATCACAGAGTGTACTTACACAAACATAGATGGTATAGCCTGCTACACACCTAGGCTACATGCTACTGATCTTATGGAACCACTGTTGTGTATGTGGTCTGTCGCTGACGGAAACATTATGTGGCACACGACTGTATTGGGATTACTATGGTTATAGTTTAGTATTAAAGATTCCTATATTTAAATATTAGATTTTATTACTTTTCTTGATTTTTTATTATTTTATCTATCATTGGCTTTGGATGTTAACAGTAGGTCAAAACTCTTTATGAAATGTCATAATGTATTATTTTTTCAAATAAAAACCAATGTTTATTTCTAAAAACAAATTGGGCTCAGAGTATCAATTTTTCAAAGTATTTTTGAGTACACAGGTCTAATAATATTTATATTTTATAAAGTTTTCAGAATTTTAAATGAATTAAATGAAAACTAATATTTCAATCTTCCAATATTACTCACTTTTTGTAATGCAAAATCATGGAATAACAAGATAGTTACCTTATTAGAGTCATGTCCACTTAGATGTCTCAATTTTCAAACAATCAATTTTTTTAAATCCATAAAGGTCTAATCTACTTCCTCCTTATATTACTTATATAGTGACTTTAAATTTTACAAATATTTATTTTTCCACCACAGACCTGGCTTTTTCATTAAAACTCAAAAGTCACTAGATCAAAGACAAACAAATAAATTAAAAAAGTCCCTACGTGGCAATGTAACGAGGATAAAGTTTTGCCTAACTGGTGGACATTCACATTTACATAAAGGATATTTACAAAATCATATGCAGAGGAATGTTTTAAATTTTGTCTGCTAATGTAAAATAAGAAACAAGTTCTTTTATGAATTCAGTTCTACTACAATCAGACCAGAATCAGATGAGCTCAAGGTCACACAATTAATAGCAAAGGCCAATTGCCTCATAAAATTGTTACAGCACTTACGTTACCCAGCCCTGCATGGGGACCAAAGAAGCACAGAAATTAGGAAATGGTTCCACTTTTCAAGAACACTATCATCAACACACTGACACACGTGGAAGTAACATAAGGGTATTGATGTAGAGATGACATTAATGCATAAGCTTTTAAAATCAAGAGTTTTCGATGAAGACTGAGAGATCTATTAACCCTTGAAATTGTGCTCAGTTTGATCAAAGCCCTGATGCTCAAGGAACATTTTTTTCCTCTATAGATGTACCAAACAAACCATATTTGTATAAATATTCAAATAAACACTTTGAAACAACAAAGATTATGGAAATATCTCATAAGTTTGTTCCCTGATGGTGCAGCTAAGACAACAAGAAGGTATAAAAGCTTTATATCACAAGGTCATTCTGGCATTTCAGTAGCCATCATGCATAGATACAAATTTCACATTAAATGATCCTATAAATGGTGAATAAGAAAATCCAAGCCCCTGTGGTCCCATTTGTTTTCAGCTTTCTATGGATGAAATCAGATTCCATGCTCTGCTGTTTCACACTGGAGTCCACGGCTGTCCAAAAGAAAAGTTTCGTCAAGAGTTAATGAAGACAAAAAACCTGAAAAGTTTGTGTGTGAATAGTTATCACTGCAAATTTGTTAAAGTACATTTATTGGCTTAAAAATACAGAGTTTCTGCACATGTGGAAGGTCCTGCGAGGAAGAGGTGAACATCTCTTAGCATGTACTGACAAAAACGATTTTCCGGTGATATTTAGTTCAGTCCTAACTTGAAGAGTGAAAGGCAGGTGAGCAGCACCCGTGCAATGGTGCTGAAGACATGCCTCACCGCTACTCTGAAATACTGGATACAAAAAAGGATTGTCAGGATAAAATTCAAGTTCATTACTGCAGGAAATACTACCTCTGCATTTGCCAACAAAAGAAAAAGAAGAACAGTTAGATTTAAAGTACAATCATACTTTTAAAATACAATTTAGAGACTGATTTATGCAAATTCTGATTCATAGTGAGAAAAAGAGTTTTGGTCAATTGGAGAAGAAGCAATAACTATTCTTTGGACACTTGCTACCACCTACTTGTACAGTTTCTTGATGAGACTGGCTATAAAGAATTTGAAGAAATCAATGAAAAGCTCTTAAATAGGAATTGTGTGCACCAACTTCAAACATAAAGCCTAATATGGAAACGTTTTGTCCAGAGAAGCAGGATCAAGTTTCTCATTACAATTTTTGAAAAGGATTTTAGCATTTAATACCAAATCTTTGTATTTTGTATTTATCATCATCACACATCAAGAAAATGTGACACATTTTCACCAAGCTCTATCTGGATGCCTCTAAATTTGCTCCTGTTTACTCCAGTGTACCAAGCAAATATGCCTTTCCATGTGTGTCATGATGTGGGAAAGGCTGGGAAGCACCAAAACAAAGGGTAAGAAGAGAGAAATTACCAAGAAAAGCACCAGCAGGAAAGCCGAAGGTACTCTCTTTCCTATACAAACGTGTTATAAATGATCACCTGGTTCTTTCTTCTGTGGGCCAGCAGTGTTCAAACTTTCTGCTGCTCCCCCTGCCTCCATTCCTGCCCCATCAATAGCTTGAATCACCAGAAAAGCGTCCAACCTTATAATCCACACATTCTCAAAGAAAAATTTCCCAGTTGAAAGCAACGTATTATATGGCAGATTTCAATATAGTAATATTAAATTTCATCAAATTCAACATATTAATATCTTTTCTTGGCACAAAGAGAAATTCTGATCTACTTTCTGAAAGCAATTGAAAGAGAAATATGTTTTACAACAATAAATGGACAACAAAAGGGATATTATAGAGCCATTAAAATCATAAGATTGTAGAGAAATATTGAAAAACATTTATAGTATAAAATTAAGTAAAAAAGTAATACAAAATAATACATATAGTCAGATTATAAAGCACAAATGCATACTTCGAAAAAGTCATAAACAAAAAACTTAAATAATGGTAGAGTGGCAGAATTAGGAAATTTCTTTATTTAAAGTTTTTTTTTTAACATTGTTATATTGCCTTCAACTACAATGGTAATAATATTTTTCAAAAAGTTGAATGAGCTGATAATACGTGTGCAAGCTCATACTTTTCTGCTGTTGGTTACCATAAATTAACTGACATCTGCTCCCATAAATGTATCAAAACCTCCCTTTCAAACCAGGGTCAAGTGTTAACTGAGTAAAGCAGTGCTTGCTTACCTTTTATAATATTGCAATGCTAAACAGAAAGGCAATTTTTAAAACTATTTATAATCTACCTTTCATACTTTAAACTCCACTGAAGAACATTATTCCATATGACCACTCAAACACACAGCTGTTTGGATCTGAGGACTTTAATAACTAAAAACAGCTCATCGATTTTTTTGAGAATGCAGATAGAATTATCAACATTAATAATCCTATGTTTGGCATAGGATTAGCATTTAATACCAAATCTTTGTATTATGGTATTAAACAATAATCCCATGTTTAGAAAGAAAACAGAAGCAAAGCAAAAATTTCAAAATTAATATTTTAAAATTAAGTCTACCTGCTGGACTGTAAACTCTCTGTCAGCTCTTACTGAATTAGCACAGATGAATATGCCAGAATGGGGCTCTGAGTAGCTAAAATTTACTGAGCACTTACTAAGTGCCAGGCACTGGACACTAAGCACTTTATAGGCTATTTCATTTAAACCTAGCAAGAATATTTTTGGAAACAGTTGTTGTTATCCCCATAATCCAGGAGATTATGGTAAGCAGCAAGGTAGATTAGAACTTGGGTATCTCTAACCCTAAAGTCCTTGTTTTCTTCACTGTACTCTACTGGACAGACACATCAACAATTGATAAAGGTCAGGCATCTACAAGAATACAGTTAAATAATGATATGAGATATAAGGGCAACAACGCTAGGCTGCATTACGGGTCTCCTCTGCAACTCTTATATGTGTATATTTAAGCATTTTAACAAGATTTTTACAGAGCCATCAATCAATAAAGTTCCAATACTTCCACTGAAGAGTCTCATAAAAATACTTTAAGGTGAGAAACAAATCCATGAGTGGAACTTCAGTTGACCATGCAGATCAGCTCCTGCATAAAGTAAATATCTGGAATTCCAAGAATTTCCAGTGCCCACATCTCATGGGAGATATCATGGTAGAGAGGAAAGTGAACTGAAGCCAATGTTTGTCTTTTTTAAACTTGCATTACAATCCCATCTCTGCCACTGGATGGTGGGGATACTACAAGCAAACTGCTTGACCTCTCTAGATCTCATCTTCCTCATTTAAAATAAAGTAATACTGCAAAGATTAAATGAGAGCATGTTACAAGGCCCGCACCAAGAAAGTGCTCAGTCAAGGCTGATTTCCATTACTTTCCTGTATAATCTTAAAATCCACGTTTTACTGCAGCACTTTAGCTATGCATAAGTCCATATTTTTGTCATGACTATAAAGTTGAAATTACATAATTAAGAAGAAAAATTACCTGAAGCATTGTTGAAAAATGTCTTATTGCTTCATCATAGAGACCACTGCCAATCAACACATAAGCAATAGCTATGAAACAAAATACAAAAACATTAAAGGAAAGAATAAAGGATCTCAGACTGGAATCAGTAGCTAAATGCTTTATTGAACCGTAAAAGGCAGCTCCAAGGACTAGAAGCAGTTAAAGAAAACCTAGACGTTAATAAGACGTAATTGAATTCTTCTACCATTCAGCACTTACTAATCAGTCTTCTACTTCTATCTAGATTTAAATTATTAAAGCTATCTATAAAATATCTGTCTACAAGAAGTAATTATCTTTTTCTAACCCTATCACTCACTTTCAAATACCAAATAACTTTTATGATGTTTCCTATCTATTTATCAAAAGAACTAGTAATAAGCCTATATAATATCCACAAAACATGGCAATGTGATTTTACTGTGAAAGTTATACCCAAATAGCATCAAAACTCTGGATTCCTGAGGATGCTGAATTTACTGCCAATTACAAGGTGAGAACAAAAACAGGTTCAAATTAATATATATTAGTATAATGCTTAACTGTAGATAATTCACACCACTGCAATGCGATGGTAGTCTTTTTCCTATCTCTTCTATTCAAAACATAGTCAAGGGGGCCGGCCCGGTGGCGCAAGCGTTAAGTGCGCGCGCTCCGCTGCGGTGGCCCGGGGTTCGCTGGTTCGGATCCGGGCGGGCACCAACGCACCGCTTGTCAAGCCATGCTGTGGCGGCGTCCCATATAAAGTGGAGGAAGATGGGCACAGATGTTAGCCCAGGGCCGTCTTCCTCAGCAAAAAAAGAGGAGGATTGGCGGATGTTAGCACAGGGCTGATCTCCTCACAAAAAAAAAAAAAAAAACATAGTCAAAACACTACTCAAACTATACACTAATGATGAATAAATAGGGGCCAGCCCTGTGGCGTAGTGGTTAAGTTCATGCACTCCGCTTGGTTGGCCCGGGGCTCACCAGTTCAGATCCTGGGCATGGACCTATGTCCCGCTCATCAAGCCATGCCGAGGTGGCGTCCCACATAGAGCAACTAGAAGTACGTACAACTATGACATACAACTATCTACTGGGGCTTTGGGGAGAAAAAAGGAAAAAAGGAGGAAGATTGGCAACAGATGTTAGCTCAGGGCCAATCCTCAAAAAAAAAAAAAAAAAACAGACAAAAAAGATGAATAAATAGTTTTTGATCAAATTGTTTAAGTAAGAGCTATTTTGAAATTAGAGCCATGACAATCTCTTAAAACACGGCAATATTTTGACTAAATTTTCACCTGTCCAAAAAAAACAATAAATTTTAGTATTTTAGATTACATTTCCACCTATAATATTTGCCCTAACTCCCTAAATCCCCAAATGTCCCTGAAAAAATTGTACTGTACTCCTCACTCAACATAACACTATTTTGATCACATTTCTTCCCAAAAAAGCTTTATTATAGGGGCCAGCCTGGTGGCATAGTGGTTAAGTTCACACGCTCCGCTTTTTCGGCGGCCCGGGGTTCACGGGTTCAGATCCTGGGTGCAGACCTACGCACCGCTTATCAAGCCATGCTGTGGCGATGTCCCATATAAAGTAGAAAGATGGGCATGGATGTTGGCCCAGGGCCAATCTTGCTCAGCAAAAAGAGGACGATTGGCAACAGATGTTAGCTCAGGGCTAATCTTCCTCACACACACACACACAAAAAGCTTTATTATAACCCTCTAATTCTAGGATCTAATAGGTGTTCAAGCAGATGGGCAACAAAAACTTTTACTGTCATTAAGAGCTTAAATTCCCTGACAGTTAAAAGTAGTAAAAACATTAAATGCAGTAGAAACATTAAATGCAAAAAGAGATTTAGAGTATCTTTATAAATAACCTGAGCAAAGTAAAGTTCAATAACATTGAGCATCATAATAATACAAGAGCTTTTGGGGGCTTTCCTCAAAATAAAAAGAGCACTGTTTTTATCCTCATTTTTTTGAAAAGACAAATTAAGTTCAAACTCAAACTTAGAATAAGAAGAATGGACACTATTCAGATAATGAGATAACCAAAGACATCTCCGGCGGGGGCCAGTAGTAGCAGTAGTGAAAACAACAACAACAAATAATAGTAATAGTTACATGTATTACACTCTTAATATATGCCAGGCACAGTCTTAGGCATTTATAGGTATTAACTCATTTACTCCTTAATTGCAATGAGGTAGGCACAATTATTATCCCCATCTGAAGACAAAGAAATAAAGCATAAAGCAGTTAAACAAACTGTCCAAAGACAACATGCAGTGCGTGAGACAAAGGAAACAGGCTGCCCAGCTCCAGGACCCACCCTCCTAACCAACACGCTGCACTGAAATAAATCAAGACTGTACCGAAACTGCTGCACACTGGGCTGGACTGCAAAACGGTTTGAATTCCTTGAGGATTAAATGAATAGAGACTAAAACATAAATTTATACTTTTCTGAATGCAGGCAGATGATGATATATTAGAAAGCCAAGATCTAGGCTCAGATTCTGGCTCTGCAACTCACTGGCTGTGTCACCATGGGGACTCAGTTACACTACTCTCTGGGTCTTGCTTAACACGCTTGTAGAAAATTTTTAGATTCTTTTCAGATCTAAGTTTTTAGAATTCCCTATGTATCTTCCCATAATCAGTAAATATCTCTGGAATGAACAAATGAATAAGTGAGCCATAAAAACAAATACAGTTTTAGGGAATAAATATTGTACTTAGGAATATGTTTAAATTGTCGCCTATGGCTCGGCTGTTGAACTCCACTGAAATACAATCAAAGGCAGCTTTCAAATCTTTCCACCTAAAAGTAAACACTTTTTGGGAAAACACAAAAGTATCCATAAAAAAAAAATCCAAATCTTGCACAAATATAAATAATTATTAGGATCTAAATTTTGTTGTGGGAGTCCAAAGGCATAAAGAAAAAACTGTGATAGCTGGAAATCTCACAGAAATTGTTACTAACCAGCAATTCCACATCTCCCAGCAAAGTGTATGTTGACAGAAGTCGTTTTTCCCAGAAAAAAAATATGTGGTACAAAGATCCCAAGCCAGCTCAGGGCCTATGCTATCCCAAGGTCTACTAGGATTATCCTAGAGCATAGAACAGATCTGGCACATATCAGGACCCTAATCCATTATTTAATAAATGAATACGAGGCTGAACAGAATCCGAGGACTTCAGAAAAGACCAAATCTGATGTCTTAACGGGTAATTAATTCTCAAAGCCTACTCCAAGAATATCACCAAAAAGTGATTAATACTTTCAAAATAGTCAACTCTCAATTATCTGCCCTAACAGAGGAAAGGAACCAATACAAAAAGTGCTCGGTCTTAATATAAAATGTGTGTGGCCATGGAAAGGATAAAATGATTATGCATAAATTAGAAAAAGTTTTCTGCAGATGCTTCAGGCCACTGGGCCCCATGTGGGAGCACACACTTATGTGAAGTCTGTCCAGCTGCACTGTTTATTCCTGTATTCAATTTTGCTCATTCCCTCAAGTGTGAGCTGACCAGGCTATGAGGGAGACACACACAAAGCATATCAGACACTGGCAAAACCAGCCTGCTTTAAACCACGCCATGAACGAGCCAAACTGCACAACCCATTTGCAGATTTGAATGAGCTCAATTTTTCTCCAGACCCAACAATCACTGACTGGCCTCATGAGTAAAATTAACTTAAACCTAGCTATTTTATTATACAGAAGATTAAAGTAGGCGTGATTCTCTTTTGCTTTCACTTCTATATTGTTCATATTTGATGACAGTACACAAATAACTTTTAATGAATGATAACACCTCATAAGAACTCATTACCATCATTATTAATTTCCATAGAAACCCAGAGGCGAACAGTGCTTACCCATCATTCCATCCAAAACTTTTATTTTATGACATATAATATATGGACCCTCACAAGGGTTGAATGCCCTGTCCAAGATCAAAGCACTTGTATTGGCACAGCCAGTCTCTGTTCTTTCTATCTCACCATCCTGCCTACCTGCTCTGCATCTAATCATAAATTCTAGGCAAATACCACAGGAGTATCCCACAATTCAAGTCTCACCTAACTCTTCATTTGTGCTGTCATTATCAGTAGCAAACGGGAACCTCTTCTGTTCTGCAATAGACTTGGCCTGGCTCTGAAATAAAAACAAACAAGCAAACAGATTTTAGCTTATCACAAATGAAGAGAAAACTTATGAAACCTGTATTTTAAAAAATTAAAGCTACATTTGATTTATACAGAAGCAAAAAATTATTCACTTTAAGTCACATCAATTATGTACTTCATGGACACAGTTTGCGGTGTAACTTGATTTGCTTCCTCCTTTATCATTAGTAATTCCATTTCCAAGAACATGTAAATTTTTACTTCCATAGGAATTAATCTTGCTGGCTGCTTCAAAGCTTCCTACACATTTTCACAGACTATTTAATGACTTTGATTATGTTGAAAAGATCATATTCTAGTGATCAGTCCTCCAATGTGGCTTGATAACAAAATATTGCTTTTTAAACTCTAAAAATATTTTAGAAATAAGAGCTACAAATTGTACAGAGATGATGCCATAAAATGACCAACAAAGCCTGACCAAGAAGCAAGACATTCTATTAAATAACACACAGCAGGTGACAAATATAACCATCCTACTTAATGCAGAAAATTCACCCGTGAAGAAATCATGCAGACACATATATGTACATCTGGTAGGAAAGCTAAAACAGAAGTGGAAACTAGGGGAAAACAAAGTAAATAAGTTAGCTTAGTAACTGGAATGATTTTAGAGGCAGTGTCTGTCCACCGTACAAAATGACAGCTCTCCACGTTTTGGAGACAAATCATGTCTGATAATACAAACAGCTGCCACTTCACCAGATTTAACTGTTGACACTAAATTGTGATATGCTCAGCCTACAGGGTACACATTAAAGTGATAACTTCATACCAGATCCACCTAAGATATGATTAAAACTTGTACACACATACAGAGACAGGAAAAGCTAAGGCAGTAAGAGACTAAAGAGCTGTCACTTTTGGCAAAACTATAGGATCAGAACCCAGTGACATCGCAATTATCTGAATTCCTCTTTTTTTAAATCCATAGTACAGATGCCTACAGCAATATATAATAGCCAAATCATTTTACACAGGATCCTCTTCTGACTAACATGCATGGTCTTTGGCTAATGACCGGTATTCATTAGCCATGAACTGTGGTCTCTTGGGCTTCACTGACTCAAACAACAGAGTAACAAGGTATATCCACTCATATTTCCTATACTTTCAAAATCCAGATTGATGTTGAGATTCAGCGTGGTATTTGGTTTGCCTATAAAATAGGTCAAGAATAAGCTACCTCTGGTTAAAACACAAGTTAAAAGATACAGGCCAGAAGAGCATCCCATCCCAGGAGATTCACAAGTCTTACTTCATTCTACTCAGGGCTCCACACAAAATGAAACATCTGAAAATTCTACTCACATGTGAATGTTTCACACTTTATTTCTTCCAGTAAAACACTGATGACTAGAAAGAAACTCTATCAGTTCTTTCTTGTTGTGCTATATAGCTTGGAGCTTCCACACGTGGGAACCTCATAAGGCTACTCCAAGAAGCAGCAGATTTAACCACCTGTGAAGGCCTCCTAGCGCTGTACATGTTTGGGTGTGACCAGACACAAGTCTTTCCTCTTTCTCAGATGGTTACAGAGAAGCACACAGATGCAAAAGATTTTTCTGCTTAATAAATTGCTTAGAGCAAAGAAAATGAGTCTATAAACAATGCTTTTAATACTTTAAAAGTCTTATTATTTCATCCAGTATTCAGTGAGAGTCTACCATTTGCCAAGCCTTTGTGCAAAAAGATATGGGAAGAGAAATGAAATCTCATAAAAAGAAGAAATCATTTACCAAGCAACATCAAGAGTATAGTGAAGAGCATATCTGATTTAAAAGTGTTTTTATTATATTAGAAATAAAATCTGTAACAGAAGTGGGCAGGAAAAGTTTGGTACGGACAAATTAATTTGATCAAAAAGAATCTTTCCGATTTTTAATACTGCATCTATAGATATCTTCTGTGGACAGAGGTGAGAAGCTATGATCAGGAAGTTTAAACATAGCCCCACTCACTAGTAGATTAACTCCAATCCATCTTTCAAGTCCCTGCTTACCTTTCAATTCCTTAAAGCTGTCTTGCCTGATCCCCCTAACTTAGGGAGATGATGCTAATCCTGTGCTTTCCCTTCATATGATTTACACATGTTTACTATGTTTATGTGTATAATTATTTGGTTAGTGACTGCAGGAGGAAGGAATGCAAGGACCGAGGGATTCTGGCTCATGGCTACATTCCTAGTACTTACTCAGCACAACGCCTGACACATAAGAGGTGCAAAATAAATATCTGGAGAATGAATGAATAAATGAGTAGTCTAACTCCCATATTTTCAACCTAGGGAAAATGAAAGGCCAAGATTGATGAGCTTTCTCCCATGGGTGACTAGCTAGTGCCATCTTAAAATGGAAATGCAACGAGTAGAAAATATTTGAATTACTATCAGTAAGAAGGTCCCTAACAACTCTAAGACTCTGCCTATCTAAGGTAGGGATTATCCAATTTCTACTTAAATGTTTTCAGTAATGGCCAACTCACTACTTTATAAGATAGCCCATCCTGGTTTGGGATAAGTCTAATTCAAAAGTTTTTCCATATATCAAGTTGATTGCCACGCAATGAGTTAGGTAAAATCAGTTGATCATTCTCTAGTTTACAATTTCTACCTATTTTCAGTAGTTCTTAATGAAAAGGCAAAGCTTTGTCTGGAAAAGAAAGAGTACCCTAAAGGGAAATTTTAAACAAAAGAAGCCAACATATCTACATGGAGTTGAAGGAAAAGGCCGGGAGAAAAAAATGTTAACCTTGGGGACTGAAAGAATAACTCAGCTTCATAGTATCACGTGTGAACAAAAAGAAGACCCTTCCACCTTCAGGCAGCGAGGCTGCGGGAGGACACATGCTAACATGGATAGGCAGGCACAGATGCTACACAGCACCAGGCACTCATCCCTGGAATGGAGAGGTCATCTGTACAGCTTAGTAGGTACTGATAAAAAAACGTAGATATAAAAGATACCTGCACAGGCAAAGGCTAGAAAAATAAGATTATACTATACCTTCAAACTCCTAGAAATAAGGCTCCTAGAAATAAGGATCAGCCATAATCTCCCCTTTATTCCTTGGAACTTAAAAGTTCCAGAATGATCAACCATCCAATTCATAAGTCATAATAATTCAATGTGACCAAATACCAGATGACTTATCTTTATCTTATGCACGCAGAATCAACTGGACTCAACTCCTAGTTGATCAACAGGCGACCTCCCCCGTTGGAACTAGTATCACTGTGCTTCAGGTCACAAAAACAGGAGGCATGGATAGAAGATGCGTACCAGAATCTTTTCAGTGTTGAGGGAAAGCAAAGAGTCACAGGGTGGCGATCCTTTGGGTTCGCAGTCTGAGTCATGGAAGTTCAGAAGGGATGACTCTGAAAAGCAAACATGCCTTGTTATTCTCCTCACCTTAAATTTATGGCTCTTAGGTGCTTGGCTATGAATTGTAATGTTAAGAACCCATACAACCAAAATAAGGACAGCAGTAAAAGCACTACATGGGGCATCCTATCTTCTACCTTGACAACTGTGTAATGTTTTACAGTCTCCAAGTGTCTTGCACACTCATCAGTATGTGTCCTCACAACAATTCTGGAAATGATCAAAGCTAGTTAGACTTCCCAGATGGTAAAATGAGATTTAGATAGGTTGGAATTTATCTAAAGGCAAGAGGGCAGAAATAGCACTAGGTCAACGCTCTTCTCACAACCCACGTGGAATTAATATAGTTAAGATCCTTTTGTTATACATCTCCTATCTGGCAGCATTTACCATAGGTTAAAGAAAAAAAAATTACAAAGCCAAGCCAGGGAGACCTAATATTAAAAGACAAGCACTGGGCCGGCCCCATGGCTTAGCGGTTAAGCGTGCGCGCTCCGCTACTGGCGGCCCGGGTTCAGATCCAGGGCGCGCACCGACGTACCACTTCTCTGGCCATACTGAGGCCGCATCCCACATACAGCAACTAGAAGGATGTGCAACTATGACATACAACTATCTACTGGGGCTTTGGGGGAAAAAAAAAAGGAGGAGGATTGGCAATAGATGAGCCGGTCTTCCTCAGCAAAAAGAGGAAGATTAGCATGGATGTTAGCTCAGGGCTGTCCCCCCAAAAAAAAAAAAAAAAAAGGAAAAAGATAAGCACTAAGAGTGTAGTATCTAGAATATATAAACAACTCCTAAAATTAAACTAGAAGAAGACAACTCAATTAAAAGATGGCAAAGGACTCAACAAGGCAATTTTCCAAAGAAGATATACAAACAGGCAAAGAGTACATGAAAGGATGCTCTACATCATTATTAATTAGGGAATGCAAATCAAACCACAATGAGGTACCACTTCACATCCACTAGGATGGCTACAATTTTTTTACAAACAGAAAATCACAAGTGTTGGCAAGGATGTAAAGAAATCAGAACCCTTGTGCATTGCTGATGGGGATATAAAATTTTGTGGCCACTGTGGAAAAGAGTTTGGTGGCTCCTCAAAAAATTAAACATAGAATTACCATATGATCCCACTATTCCACTCCTCAGTATGTACCAAAAGAACTGAAACAGGTACTCAAACAAGTATGTGTACATGCATGTTCATAGCAGCACTATTCACAATAGCCAAAAGGCAGAAACAGCCCAAATGTTCATCAACAGATAATGGATAAACAAATTGTGGTACATATACACAATGGAATATTATTCAGCCTTTAAAAAGAATGAATCACTGATACATATTACAACATGGAAGAACCTGCAAAACAAAAACTAAGTGGAAGAAGCCAGACACAAAAGGTCACATACTGTATGATTCCATTTATATGAAATACTCAGAATAGGTAAATCCAGAGAGATAGAATGCACATTGGTAGTTGAAGGAAGGAATAGGGAGAAACTGCTTAATGGGTAAGGGGGTTTACCTTGGAGTGATGGAAAGGTTTTGGGGTGGTTGCACAACATTGTGAATGTACTAAATGCTACTGAACTGTTCACTTGAAAACGATTAATTTTATGTTATGTGAATTTTGCCTTAAATTATTTTAAAAGATATGCTCTAATTCAGCAGTCACTAAAGAGCATCAAATTATGTTCAAGGAACCATCTGAACCAATTTAGCTAAATTCTCCTGTGCATGTCTTAACAGTATGAAACAGGACATGATATATCAAAGAAGCACTGCGTGATGAGCAGTTACTGAAACTGGAATGTTCAAGTTCACAAGGCAAGAGCAGAGTTTAAAAGGACAGGTTTAGATTGGAGTACAGAGAGGGAATGGGTATCCCAGTAGAATAAGTGGTGTACACAAAAGCACAAAGGCAAGAAAATGCAAAGGGGCAGTGAGTAGATGAGCCTGACTAGAGGAAGGAGATGGTGTTGGAAAATAACAAGTATGAGGTTGGAAGGTGAGCAGTCTGACTGGGCAAAGTCCAAGAGAAAGGCTTTAGTCTGGCAAGAATGAACAATCAGTAATGGTTGTTGGTCGGTAGCTGGAGGATAATGACTTGCTGAAAGATATTTTGGAAATAGATTAATTTATAACCTGTTTCTCTTACCTTTTCAAAAAGCTAACATTTGAGGATTTACCATACACTAAGCACTGTGCTAAGCATTGCATATACTTTGCTTTATTCTATTCTAACACTCTCCCTACTTTGTGGAATTCATTTCAGTTTCAGTAAACATCTACATAATTTTAAATGGCTACACAGTATTCCACTGCATGGAACTTAACCATAACCCTATCATTGGATAATTAGGATGTCCTTTCTTTTTCCTTAATATAATTGTTTCAATGAGTATCCTTCGTCTGTATTTTTGCAAATTTACCCAATTAGGCAATTAAATTAAATCTAACGAATGTAATTGCTGAGGCAAAAGGTGTAAACAATTTTAAGACCTTTCATATACGTTGCTCCATTTCCCTCCCAGTATATAGTAGTAATTCCATTCCCACTAGCAGTGTACAAGACAGTCTATTACCCTCTACTCAGAGTATTGCCATTCTTTTTATCTTTCCCAATCTGAAAATAGTACTAGTAACATTAAACTTACGGTTTATTGGTCATTTGTATCTCTTCTTTTGCAAATTGCTTATATCTTTTGGTAACTTTTAAGTCATCTGATCTATTCTGGCCTAAGATATAAAGAAGAATTTCTAATTATCTATTTTCCAAATGGTTAGCCAGTTATCCCAGTACCACTTATTATCAATTTGAATGCCACCTTCGTAATACATATACATTATACACGCCACTGGGGTCTGTTTCTGGGCTTTTTTGTTTGGTTGGTGGGTGTGTGGGTGGGGGTGGGTGTGTGTGTGTGTGTGTGTGTGTGTGTGAAGAAGATCAGTCCTGTGCTAACATCTGCCAATCCTCCCCTTTTTTTGCTGAGGAAGACCGGCCCTGGGCTAACATCCGTGCTCATCTTCCTCCACTTTATATGGAACACCGCCACAGCATGGCTTTCCAAGCAATGCGTCAGTGCGCGCCCGGGATCCGAACCGCCGAACCCCGGGCCACTGCAGCAGAGCGCGCGCACTTAACCGCTTGCGCCACCCGGCCAGCCCCTGGGCTTGCTTTTTTTTTTTTTTTTTTTTTAAAGGAATCTTTGAGATTATTTATATCCAACTTCTGTAATAGCTCTGACAGATGATTGTCCAATCTCTACATGAACATTTAAAAAAAATTACAGTAGTAATTCATGTTCATTGGAGAAAACATAGAAAAATCACAAAACATAAATAAAAGTCATTTAGAACACCAGCACATGTTGAGAACTGCTGTGAAAATTTTGGTGTATGTAATTAAGAGTGATAGTTCTGAAATCAGACGGTCTGGATTTGAATTCCTGCTCTCTGCCACTACTTACTAGCTCTTGGCCACTGACCTAGCCTCTTCAATCTTCAGTTTCATTTGTAAAACATGGTCAATAATAGTATCTACATCACCAGGGTGGTTGTGAAATTTAAACAGGGAAATCTACGTAAAGCATGTGGTACAGTTTCTGGCACAAAGAAGGAGCTCAAAAAATTTTTGCTACTATTATTATCATTAGTTTGTGAGAACTGATTAAGATATATTGTTTTGTAACCTGCCCTTTTAACTTAACAACATAATGTAAACACTTTCCCATATGATTAAATTTTCTTCTACATTATTTAAACTTGGTGAGATTATATACCATTTTTAATTTGTTTTAAATAAAATTTTAATTCTCTAGAATAAACATGCATTTTGTTGTTGTTTCTAGACTTTCTAATCCCTTATAATCATGTTTATTCTGACTTCAGTATCACATTGTTTCAATTATTGTAGCCTTACAATAAACGCATATATTTTAATGTAAAGCAAAGTTTCATCAATTTTTTTTTCCAAAAATTTCTTGGCTGTTTGGATAAACATTCTTTCTTCAGATAAACTTCAGTCACTTTGTTAAGGTTCCAAAACAAAAATATCCCTCTATGATTTAATTAGAATTGTATTAAAATTATACATCAATGAGGGCAGGAATACTTGACTTTTTACAAAATTTGATATACTTCTTCAAGTCTTTTATTAACCTATGTGAAATTTTGTAATTTTTTATACAAGATTTACACATTCAAGTTTGTTGTGATTACAAAACAATGGGTGATAATCATTGAGTCAATACACCTTCGTTGAGCATCTACTATGTTTCAGTCACTGCCTTAGCCTCCATGGTCATCAAAACCAGAAATGACCCCTGTCCTTGTACACAGAGATTACAATTCAGTAGGTGAAACCGACATTAATCAGTCACACAAACAAACGTAAAATTGTAGCAGCTTAAGAGCTATGAACTAGAGCATAGCTGGGAGAAGTGGCCTGCTCAGGGAAAGTTTCCTGAGGATGTGAATAAGGACATCAGCTAAGACTGATGTAGTTACCAGGTATAGGCACCCTCCTAATCCCCTTTTTAAAGACAAGGAAAATGAGCCAGACAGACTAATAATTTGCCCAAGGCCACCCTCTAGCAAAGCAGGAGGGGTAGGATTTGAGCCCAAGCAGTGTGGTTCTGGAGTCTGTGCCATGAAAGAGTGAAGAGAGATAGGAGGAAAGTGAAGGATTTAACAGGTGAAGGTCCATGGGAGGCTGGCAGGGCTGGCAGAGCAGTTCGGGCAGAAACACAGCATATTGTACATCTTTGTCTTCCTGCCTGGCTAGAGCTGAATATTTTATCTGCCCATATTACTGAACTCTTAACAGCTCTATTAATGTCTCCATCTATTCAGTGAATAACTGTATCATCTACATGTAATTATATCAAGATCTTTTTAATATTTATAGTCATTTAGGACCTTATTGTACTGGATAAAACCTCCAAAAAAGTACTCAATAAAACTAGGGATAAAAGGTATTCC